ACTGAGACTAACCATTAAGAAGTGATTTGCGAGAAAAGAGCTTCCTTTTGGCGAAACGCCGGTTCCAATCGAAGAGCTGGAAGAAAACGCCGACACAACCGCCGAGTCGATTTGGCCGTTTCTCAGTTATGGCCGCACACGGCGCCGTTTTATCCACCGTCTCTTGTAACTCTCCCGTCATTAGATTACTATCACGAAACCCTAACAACCCACAATTGCAGAGAGATTGCAGAAACTACAGAGAGAAGAAAAAATGTCTCCTTTAGAGACACATTGCATCAAATTTCATAACTTTTTAATCAACAGAGAAGAAGATCAAGCAAAAGAGAGAATGAGACCCAGAGAATAAGAAAAAAGAAAAACACTCTCTTTCTTTGAATTGTGATTCTGAAAAAGATAAAAAGTCTCTCTCTTTCTCTCTCTCTTAGCTTTGTGAAATTTTGGAGCTAGTGAAGAAGAAGAAGAATCTCTTTAAGAAAAGCAGAGAAGAAGACGAGTGTACATTATCATTATCGATAGCATAGTTACGAGAATTGGGAAAGAAAGGAGACAGTTGGAAATCAAGAAAACGACAATGGTACAGTGGAAGAAGAAGAGAGACTGTGATGATGATAACTCAATTTTTTATTACAAAAAGGAAAAAATGAATCTAAAGCTTAAAAAGAAGATGAAAAGTCTGTGTCAAAACATTTGGGACTCAACGGGTAATATTCGGAATTTGGAGTTAAAAAAGTGAAAGGAGACAAAAGCTAAACGATGAGTGACGAAGTGATTGAAAGAGAGATGAGAGATTAATTAAAAAAGAAAAATATTTCTTCTTTGACTGTGATTCTCTCTGCTGTCACTGGCGGTGAAAGGGGCTCGAGAGAGATTGTTTGCAGCTTTTTTTGTGTGTTTGCAGAAGAAGAGAAGAGGGAGAGAGAGAGAGCATGCGCACACAAAAGGTTTAGTAGCTGATAGATAGAAATAGACTAGAGAAAGATAAAAGAAATTGTCGAGGAGAAAATGAAGATTTAATTGTTTTTCTTTGTGTACTAATTGAGATTTGAGAGTGATAATCGAATAAGGTTTTTGATTTTGGGATATTTTAGAAGCGTAAATTGTGGTTGTGGGAATCGAAGAACATGACAATGAGGTTAAAGGTTCGAGGTTCTTGTTTCTCTTTTTTGACGAATCCATTTTCATCCGTAGTCCATTTCTCAGTTCCAGCTCTTGCATCGGTTTCTGTTCTCAAATACTCAAAACAGAAAAATAGATTTTTTACTAGTACTGGATTTTTTAAGAACACTTTGGTATAAGAATTTTTAATAGCATTATATTTATGAAAATTACATTATAGCTTTTTGAAAAATAATCGAAATTAATTTAACGTTGGTTTTCTTTTTTTTTCTTTTTTTTTAAAAGAAGGAAGCTAGGATAATTGACCTATCTATAAAAATTTTGGAATGATCTTCATCAAATTCTATTAGAAAAATGTTTGAAAATATTTAAATCAGTGAAATTTATTTGAAACTAACAAAAAATACTAATACATGAAAACAGATTATTAACGACAATCTTTTATGATCATACTATCAATAAAATTACAATAAATAGATAACATCACCAGTTTTACTTCTAACTGATAGAGTTATTTTTTTCTTGTTTTTAAAATAAAATTTTATATATCAAAATCATAATTTTACTGAATTGAGTTTTCGAAATAGGGACATCCACTAAGAAAGACTCAATTTATTTGAAACTAACAAAAATTAATATTACATAAAAACATACTCCCTTTCTCTATCCCATATTATAAGCTGATGGGGAAAATGGGACAACTGCTTATAATATGGGACATAAAGAGTATTATTAACGACAAGTTTTTATGCCTTTAGGGTTTAGATTTGGAAAAATCAGTACGTTGCTTGCATATAATTTGTCATAGGATTGGTTGTGGTAACCATTTATGCTGGAGATGTTTGGGCGACAAATGCATCTCATCATGGCTATTTTTTCTGCAGCGAAATTGAACAACCTCCCTCCGATGATGTGTTAAGATGCGAGCAGGAAATAACTCATCTTGTTCATGTAAGGCTCTCTCTAGAAGCCATGAAGACTTATGCTGAGAGTAGCACAGAAAGAAAGGAATCAGCCCCCACTAAATATTTTGCCTCTATCGATCAGATGCTCCACATTGTCCAAGCTCTTAAGAATCTGCATATCCATTACCTCTACAACTGGCGTTTCACTCGCCTTAACCTTCTCTAGTGCAAACTTCACTAGAAACTGAACTTGTAGATCACATGGCGTTACTTGAGATGACTCGTCTATGTTCCGTTTAATTATTCCATACTCCGGGGCTTCAAAGGTTATCAACAACCTTGGATACTTTCCTCCAATGGTGGTATGCTGAATATGAAAATGTCTTGGGAAGTCGACGACTTTGTCTTCAATTAGCTGCTAGTGGTTTTAGGTACTTCTCTCACCTATCTTTCCATACATTTTGGTTCTTTGAATTGGATGAAGTGAATATGTGTTGTTAGATCCCGATATGAACATGTTTCTGATCATAATTCTCTGGATTGGAACTCTAATCGATATGAAATCATATTTTGGCTATTGCCTGAGAATGTTCTTAGATTCATGTTCATGGATTTATTTTCATTACTACATTGTTTAGTTTGGATCGGAGTTACGAAAAAATAATAATAATTAATTACAGTTAAAATAGATTTTTTTTTGGGCGAATAATTACAGTTAATAGATAACATCACCGGTTTTACTACTAATTGATCGAATTATATTTTTCTTGTTTTTAAAATAATTTTTTACATCAAAATTATAATTTCACTGAATTGAGTTTTAGAAATAGGGACATCCACGAAGAAAAACCCAATACAAATGTGACCTAACTTCTAAGCCAAATAAAACGCTAAATACAAATGCTAACGCAAACGCTAAACGTTAGCCCTAGGTTGACAAATCTAGCTCATTATTTCTTGTTGGAAAATGCCCAAAAAAAAAATAGCAGAACTTACTTATATATTTGTAGAAACTATTTGGAAATTTGGAGAAACATATCAACAATTAAAGTTCTTTATTCTTTACACGTTTTCTATTACGCTTTTAGCAAAAGAAAAAAAAAGTTTTCTACTATAACATAAAAAAATAAAAAAGGTATTTTGTACAAAAAGGCTATTTTTACCAACGTGCTTTTTATCTTATCTTATACACTAACTTTATCATAAGATAAGGTACCTTTACGTACTATTTTTACCAAGTCGGTATCCAATAGGATAAACTCTGTATTTGGGTTAGAATGTCGTTAAATATTCACTAACTTTTATCAAGAACTAGGAGTTTCTGTTGCACTAATTATCAGTAGTAATCAAGATCTTCGTTACTTTTAATCTCTTGTAGTTTAGTTCCCAGGAAAAATATAGTGAGTCAGTTCTCAAAAAAAAAAAAAATATATATATATATATAGTGAGTGTATATATACTACATAGGTATATATTTTTTGAAACTTTTTAGAGTGTAATAAGACAGAAGAAAAAGCAGAGTTGCGTCTTTGTCTGTGTCTGACGAGTCTGAGAGATATGTCACGGACAAATAACTCATACACGCTAGGAATCTCTAGCACACCCCCACACTTCTATTCAAACACAGTACCAATTATTTTCTTGTTGTGACATATATACACATACATTCAATATTCAAATATATTTTGTTTGGCTATAAATTGAATATTGTAAGTGAAACTACTGTTTGAAACTCCAGACGATTCTATAGAAAAAAAAAAAGAAGCGGTTTCAAATTTTGTCAAAATGAAAAAGGAAAAAAATAGTGAAGCAAATTTTACTATTTGGGAAAAGTACATTTTGACCAACATGAAAAAACAATGATTCCCGGTGTTTTCTAAAGAACTCTGCCGTTTGATTGAACATCATGGTGAAAATGAAAATTAAACAGTTCATGCTGATTTCTTTTTCTTTTTTTCCTCTTTTTCCTTTGACGCAACAGTTTATGTCATTACTTTTATTGTATAAATGATATATTTAGTTTTTGTTCATACTCTCATGTTTCTGACTTCCATTTGCTTATACTTTTATTGTATAAATGATATATTTAGTTTTTTTTCATAATCTCATGTTTCTGACTTCCATTTGCATATGCTCAATGTTATTCCATTTGCATATGCTTTTAGAGGAGAAATTAGCACATTTCCCTGAGCCCGTCATCATTAGTAAAGTCACAAAGCCCAATCCGATTTTAGGCCTAACATCTTCAAGAAAAAGGCAAGACTTGAAGAGAAGAGGCACAATCCATGGAGAAATGTAAATAAATCTTCATGCCGACTTAAAGAATGGAGAAAGATCCAAAAACAAGAGGGATTTTCCATATCGCAAAAGAGGAAGTTTTCCATCTCGCCTGAAGGAGAATATTCATCATTCGGCCGACTTATCAACACTATATATTGAAGACCCCCCATTGGGAGAGGGATCCGAAATCATCTAGAATCACTAGGCTTTCACATTAGCTTTTACTCTATCCTCTTGTTCATCATCATAATCTCGCTAGGCTTGTTAGCGAGATTGCTCTCTTGTAACTTCTTGATAATCTAAGAGTCGAATTAAGCGTTCCAGTTTCCTAAACTCACATCTAGATAGCCCGTCTTGACGAGTGCTATCTCGGATTCAACAATTGGCGCCCACCGTGGGGCTGGAAACGCTTCTCGCTATTCATCTCGAAGATATCTAGATTTTCACGAACTAGCAACGATGGCGAACTCGAAAGAGAACACTCCCACCGGGAGCCCGTCTCCCTCAGAAGAAAACTTAAGCGACAGTCTACCAGCACGATAGACAAGTCGCTACCCGCTGAAGGTAGGGACAAGCCTGTCCCTACAAGAAACCCATCTTTCTCGCCACAGAGATCCGTCTCGCCGCGAAGATCGACTTCGCCGCAACGATCCCCTCCGCCAAGAAAGGACGAGAGCCCCCTCCGTCCGCACCACGCCGCTCGAGAAAATCTTCCTCGAGCGACAAACCCCGCAGCTCGAAGAAATCCTCCTCGAGCGAGAAGATCCTCAAACTCATGGAGAATCTCGTCAAGCCACTCGCCGACGGTTTCGAGTCAATGCGAGCACAGCAGAAAAAGACTCAGGAACAGGTGGAAGCCCTAGCACGAGAAGACGATGAAGATCCGTCAAGTCCCACCGACGGAACAACCCCCCGTCCTGCACTTCAGGCGACTTACCACCCAAGAGCTCGAACGGGTGAATCGTCGCCTCGACGAGGTCGATTCGAAAGTTCATCGCGCCACCAGCTCAGCTCCGGAATTGACGAAAGCACTCGCCGACACCCGAAGAAGCCCGCTCACCCGCAGGCTCCGCCAGATTGAGCTACACGAAAGAGTTCGACTCAAAATCGACTCTTACACCGGCGAAGAAGACCCCAAGAAGTGGCTAACCGCGTTCAACCTCGCCATGAGGAGGGAGAAATACAAATCTTACGATGAAAGGGAGGCCAACTACTGTCAAGTATTCGTCGAGCACATGGCGAAAGATGCCTTGACCTGGTTCTCTAACCTCCCCGCCGAGTCGATCGATAACTTCGACGACCTAACCAATGCTTTTCTGAAGCATTACTCCATGCACATGACCCGAATCACTCGGAACATGTTCACCACAACGCAAACCCAAGGCGAACCATTGCGCAGCTTTATGGAAAGGTTCAAACAAGCAGCTCGCGACACTGGCGACATGCCCGATAGCGTCCCGCTAGAAGCACTCCGCAACGGCCTCTGGTACGACTCCAAGTTCAAGGAGGATTTGTCACTAAAACCCCCTGCGACTCTGGAGGACGCGTTCCACCGCTCTCGGAACTACATCTTCCTCGAGGAAGACCAGCGCTTCTACGCCGAGAAACATGGAGATAGGAGGGCAACCTCGACGAAACCCAGAGAGGAACCCATGGAGGCACGAAAAGATATAATCCAAAAAGATCACTCCTAACGGCGTTCGCAGCAGCCGACAACAAGCCCGAGCAGGAACCGCATCACATCAAGAAACGGGCAACAGATGTCGCGACGCCATCTCGACGACTCTGACACGTTTTGCCGCCTCCACGGAACCGGTGACCACTCTACAAGAAACTGCCGACGCCTAACTCGCGATCTCCTTCGGAGATACCAGCACGGGGAGCTACCACCGATAAAAGGGGACCGCTCTCGTCACAGACGAAAGCCGGCAACCCGTAATCCCGGAAAACACGCCGGATGACGTAACGAACTACTCCGACGAATCAGGGCAAGAGATTAACATGATAATGAGCAACCCCATCCATCGCGATTCCATCTCGACGATCACGAAGCATGAATACGCAGCGGTGGAGCACGATCGCAACCCGACCCGCGAAGAAATCCCCACTATCATCTTCACGGATCAAGATACGGCGGGGCTGGATACCCCTCACGTCGACCCACTCGTGGTCAGCTTGCACATCAGTGACTCCAGCGTAGCAAGAATCCTGATCGATACCGGGAGCACGGTGAATCTAATCTACAAAGAGACCCTCAACCGCATGGAAATCAGCAGAGACCAGATCAAGCGTTCGTTGTACTCCCTCACCGGTTCACCTCCGAACACGTCTCCGTGAAGGCACGATCCGCCTACCTATCCACGTCGGCGGAACAACCAAAGCCGCCGAATTCTTCGTCATCGATAAACCAGCCATTTACAACGCCATTTTGGGCACCCCATGGCTCCACGAGATGAAGGCCGTCGTCTCGACCTTTCACCAATGTGTGAAATTCCCGCACAATCAGGAATTTACACACTGAGAGGGAATCAGGGGGCGCAAGGTCATGCTTCCTCTATGAGCGACGGCTCCGCCTAGCAGCAACATGCACCGCAAACGAGGAAATGGATCCACGCCTTCCATACCACCAGAGACCAAAGCCGGCCCTCGTCGACGAGGTGAATATCGACGAATCGCGTCCGGAAAGGTGCGTTGGCATCGGTGGCGACCTCGACGATGATAAAAGAGCAACTGGTCACATTGCTCAAACAGAATGTGCACCTTTTCGCATGGTCAATGGCAGATATGAAAGGGATCGACCCGGCAATCACATCCCACGAGCTAAACGTGGACTCTACCTACAAACCCATGAGACAGAAAAGACGCAAGCTCGGCGCCGATAAAGCTCAAGCAGTCAATGAAGAAGTGGAAAAATACTTAGAGCCGGATCGATCACTGAAGTAAAATACCCCGAATGGCTAGCAAATCCAGTCGTCGTCAAAAAGAAAAACGGAAAGTGGAGAGTCTGCGTCGATTTCACAGACCTGAAATAAAGCATGCCCAAAGGATAGCTTCCCTTTACCGCATATCGATCGCCTCGTCGAGGCCACGGCAGGGAATGAATTACTATCCTTCATGGACGCCTTTTCAGGATACAATCAGATCTTCATGCATCCCGATGATCGCGAGAAGACGGCATTCATTACCGATCGTGGCACCTATTGCTATAAAGTGATGCCCTTCGGCCTGAAGAACGCCGGCGCCACTTATCAACGATTAGTGAACAAAATGTTCGCGGACCAGCTCGGTAGAAGCATGGAAGTCTATATCGACGACATGCTAGTCAAATCTGCCAAGGCACGATCACGTCAAGCACCTCAGCGAATGTTTCCGAATCTTAGAGAGTACGGGATGAAGCTGAACCCCGCAAAATGCACATTCGCCGTTACCTCGGGAGAATTCCTCGGGTATGTTGTGACCCAACGCGGGATAGAGGCAAACCCGAAGCAGATCTCGGCGATCCTCGACCTCCCATCGCCGACATCCTCCAAAGAAATCCAAAGACTCACCGGACGTATCGCCGCATTGAACAGATTCATCTCGCGCTCAACCGACAAGTGCTCCCCTTCTACCAATTACTTCGATCAAACAAGAAGTTCGAGTGGGACAAAAAATGCGAAGACGCTTTCAAACAACTTGAAAGAGTATCTCACTACCCCACCAATTCTCGCAAAACCCGAAGAAGGCGAAACCCTACTCTTATATATCGCAATATCAAGCACGGCGGTAAGCGGAGTCCTTGTCCGAGAAGATCGAGGAGAGCAGCAGCCAGTCTTCTATGTCAGCAAAACCCTCAATGATGCCGAGACGCGATACCCAACCCTAGAAAAGTTGGCACTCGCAGTAGTCATATCGGCACGAAAACTCAGGCCATATTTCAATCACACTCCATCGTCGTCTTTACCAGCCAACCACTACGCCAAATCCTTCACGGCCCCAACCAATCCGGAAGAATGGCAGATGGGCAATCGAACTATCGGAATACGATATTGAGTTCAAAAGCCGGACGAGCGCCAAGTCACAAGTCCTAGCCGACTTCATCGTAGAAATCCCACCAGAGCTCGCAACTCAAGAGGACGAGCAAATCCTCAAATGGACACTGCATGTCGACGGATCGTCCTCCAGGCAAGGAGCAGGCGTCGGCATCCGCCTCGTCTCCCCGACAGGCGAGATTCTCGAGCAATCGATCAAACTCGGTTTCCCAGCGTCCAACAACGAAGCCGAGTATGAAGCGATTATTGCCGGACTTCGTCTCGCCGAAGCAGTCGGAGCAGAACACGTTCGTGCGTTCTGCGACTCTCAGCTCGTCGCTAAACAATTCAGCGGTGACTACGACACGAAAGACGATCGCATGGATGCGTATCTCAAACAGACGCAAAGATTCCAAAGCCAAGACGTTCTTGAGAATTCCGAAGCCGACGCACTCGCAGCCTTGGCGTCAAAAACCGAATCAGCACTGCGACGGGTCATCCCGGTCGAAACCATCGACGAACCAAGCATCAAACTCCCCAAGGGAACCGTCGTCATGGCAATCTCGCAAGAAGAAGAAGAAGACGAAAACCTCACTGATGACGAGTCAGCAGAACACAAATCATGGCAGGATGAAATCAGAAATTACCTCATCAACGACGCCGTGCCAGAGGAGCGATGGGCGGCCCGCCGCCTCCGACGAAAAGCAGCTTACTACTTCTTACGCAACAACGAGCTTTTTCGCTGGAGCGCAAACAAAGTCATCCTGCGATGCTGCGACGAAGCACAAGCTAAGAGCATCATGGTCGAGACCCACGAGGGAGCATCAGGAAACCACGCCGGCGGAAGATCACTCGCTTTAAAAATTAAGAAGATCGGATACTTCTGGCCAACGATGATCGGCGATTGCATAAACGTCGCCGCCAAATGCGTCCCCTGCAAAGATACGCACCGGCGATCAACGCCCCAACGCAAGCACTTCAAGCTGCGATCCCGGCATATCCCTTTATGCGCTGGGGAATGGATATCGTCGGCCCCATGCCACGCTCACGGCAATGCGCTTACCTCTTGGTCGTCACCGACTACTTTACTAAGTGGGTAGAAGCAAAAGCGTACAAAAACCCAACGGCTCATGACGTAAGAAACTTTGTGTGGCAGTATATCATATGCCGTCACGGTCTTCCTTATGAGATCGTCACGGACAACGGAGGACAATTCGTCGCAGCAGCTTTCCGAGAATTTTGCGCATCGTGGAACATCAAGATCACTTACTCCACGCCAAGATATCCTCAAGCTAATGGACAAGCCGAGTCCACAAACAAAACTATTGTTGATGGATTGAAAAAAAGGCTTGAAGGCTACCAAGGAGCTTGGGCGGACGAATTGGATGGAGTGCTCTGGTCGCATCGAACCACTCCCAGAACCGCATCCGGGGAAACCCCATTCTCTTTGTCGCACGGTTGCGAAGCACTAGCACCGGCAGAACTGCACGTAGCCAGCTTACGACGATCGTTAATGCCCCTCAACCCGGCATTGAACGACGACTCACTCCTGCATAGTTTAGACCACACCGAAGAGCTACGGGATCGCGCCCTCCTGCGTATGCAAAACTACCAACAACAAGCAACCAGATATTACGACAGGAAGGTGCGAAACCGGCGCTTCGAGCTCTACGACCTTGTATCTAAGAAGGTCCACGACTTTACCAAACCCGAGCACGCAGGCAAATTCGGGTTCCATTGGGAAGGACCGTTTCGCATCACCAAGATCATCAAACCCGGGGTCTACGAGCTGGACGATTGTCATGGAAACCCATTGCCTCGTCCATGGAACTCCATGAACCTACGCAGGTTCTACACCTAGACGCGTCGCACCGCACACAAAAAACATTTGTAATGAACTACGACTGGCTTGATCCCGGCATGGGTACGTAGGCAGTCTTTCTCGATAAAGGCACAGCTATAAATTAATAAAAATAAATAGCTCTTTTATTTTTATGCAAGCACTTCTTATCGAACCTCTTCGGAAGGGTTCCCGTCTCGGCAAGGACCCAGAAGTAAACGACTTCTGCCCTCAACCGGTAACTGAGTTTCCTACCGAAGACATCGGCAACGCAAGCACCGCACGCAAAGCATAATTCCGAAATAACGCAACACACCGACGTTCTGGCCCAACGCTCGGATGCACTTAAACGCAGCACCCGTGGACTGATCACCCACAAAAGACGAGAGCAAGCACCTCGCACGGCTCTAAGCCATACGGGCAAGAAAAAACCGCTATCGTTACACGCGTATCGGACTTAAAAGTCGTAGGCATAAATCGAGCCCCTAGACCTCGTCGCCAAAACATGTGATCTACCGAATCACAGCACCTCAGACCTAATACGCATCGGTCGGTGTCTCGAATGAGAGTCGTGACAGACTACGAAAGCTTCGAAGAACATCACGACGCATCCGCACCGTCAAACGAAAGCACTCGTTCGACACACTTGAGATTAACAAGCCATCTCGGCATAGGTAAGCCGTTTACCCGATGACGATCGAATAAACTAGCCTACCCCAACCGATTGAAGGCGCATTGTTTCTCATTAAAAGACATGGCCTAAAGCTGGGTTCTTTCATCGCGCTGTGAAATTATCAACTATGTCTAAGCCAATTTGTTTCGCAAACAAAGCAGCAAATAAAACACCACATAACATCCAAAACTAAACCCAAAGTTTAAGGATAAAAGCCCTCCCGGGCAATTGTCGCGATAAAAGCAACTGGGAAACTATCAAAAGAAAAAAGAAAGACAATTTCGACTTCACCTACTTCGATTAACGACGCGATGGGGATCCCGGAAACGCCAGCTCAGCTAGGGTAGGCCTGAAAGTTCGATATATTGACCCATATTGATCAAAATTCCGTGGAACAATCCATGCGCTATCAAAGCAAAATTCAGCAAGACGAAAACGAAGATCTAACCTTAGGGCGGAGCATAGTCATCAGCTTCGACTTCGTCATCCTCAACCAAATCTCCGGCGGCCTTACTCTCCCGCAACCGGGCCGCAAGCATCTTTTCCACCGCATCAAAGTCCTGCTCGACCCCCTTTATTTTCCTGACATAGGAAAGAAGAGCCTCGTCGACTTGAATCCTAATCACCGCCTTCTCCACTGCATCCCGCTGACTGACGTATCTGCCTATACGGTCCAACCTCGGAGTATACCAATTATGCATTGATTCGTACACCTGAGCAGCCGTCAACTCAGCCCACTTCGTCCGAGACTTGCGAAGACGAGCCATCTCGGCAATCGAGTTTTCCGCGTCCCGGCAGGCTTTATCCTCCAGTTGCGTAATTTTGTCCCGAAGTTGATTATTTTCAACCTCAAGGCCAGACACCTTCGCAACCTCGCCTTTGAGAGCTTCTATCTTCTTTTCAAAAGCACTCTTTCTTCTCGAAACCTAACTGCAGCCACGTCACCATCAAAGCTTATCAAACAGATCGGCTTTAATTTGATCAACTCCGCTCGAGCACCCTTGAGCGTTCCGTCATAAAGTTGAATCAACGCAGCAAACTTCCCTCCGGCTCTAATAAGATTATTAGAAGCCTCATCGAAAGCACCCTTGAACTCAAGCTCACCACGCGGAACCCCCCAGCATGGCTTAGGTTTGCAACCCCAAACCATCTCTCCACTAAAGTCCCATTATCCATTAAAGGAGCACCACCTTTCCACTTAAAGGAGACGGCATCGGAGTCTATCCCGACGAAATCCGTCGCCCCGTCACCTCCAGACTCCAGGATACTCATATCCCCGCCCTGACCAGTAGAAGCCGCGACAGTCCGAGAAGAGAAATCGCCACTGGTGACGCCCCCAAGAGACCCCAGTGACTGAGGAAGATCACCTAGCTCGCAGGGATCTGATCTCATCCGCTTGGATAAAGGATCAGAGATCAGGATATCATCATCCACCAAAGCCGGAGCCCTTTTCCTTAAGCCTGTCTTCCTAGCAACACCCGGCAACTTATCTGGAAGACATCAGGGAGCGCGATTTAAGAGCCGGACCAGGTAAAAATTCAAAGGCGATAATCAAACACTCACCAGGGAGAGGAATCGCTATAGCAATAGCCTTTCCTTTCTTTTCCTTCTTCTTCCTTTCGGTCTCGGCAAACGCATCCGCCCAAGTCTCTCTACTCAAGTCGCGTAAAGTTCTAAACTTCTCCTTTAAAGTAGTATTTACTTTCCTTGGGACAATCCTTCCTGCACATCAGATAATGGGGGCGTAAGTTAGCATACGAAGCAACCGTTAAAAATAAGGAAGAATTCACAACCACTTTACCCGGCTCCTGGACCCATCTTGTTAAGACGTGACTAGGATCGAAATCCCCGACCGAAGCACGGTCGATCTTGACAAAAAAGTAGTAGCGCGTCCAGTGATGAATCTTCGTTCGATGATCACCAAAAACGATGTCATGTTTCATCGATGTGTGGAAACGCTTGAAACCTCCTTCCTTAACCCCAGCACGAAGATCGTTATACGCTCAAAGAGCTCCCTGTCTAGCTTCATCCCGGCTGCCTTCGCCAGAGCGGTCGAGAAGATCATATGCCGCACTACACCATGGGTCAGCTGACTCAACGCTACACCCCGCTCATACGCATACTCGAGAAGTAACGGGAGGACCGGAAAACGTATTCCAAACTCCGTGAGGAAGCATTCGTAGAGGCAAAACCATCCAGGTGGAGCATCCATCGGCCTTTGGTCAGGTAAGGGAACGAGAATCTTGACCGCGTCACTGATTCCCACCCTCTCCCGCAAAGCGATGACTATATCTTCGGTCATCCCCGATCGACCATCCCGAGCCAGAGATCTTGACGATGATCTCCACGGCATCTCAATCTTTTGAGGGATACCATCGAGCCTAGCGCAATCAGGGACTTTCTCCTCACCGAGCTCAGGATTCGGATCCCGTATCCTCGTTCGGAACTCCCTCGCAAGGACGGTCGCCGCATTCCCCGTTTAAAACCTCGGATTCCCCTTTAACGGATGAGTTCATCGCCTTCGCCAAACCCACCGTCTCGCAAATCTCCTTCGGGACAGCATTATGCTCAAGGGCCGACGTCGACATCGATGAACTGGTCTCGATTTGCACCATCGAAAGCGCGAAGAATAAGGTAGAAGGAAGGAAATGCAAGTCAGGGCAGCGAAGGGATATTCGCTCTCTCTCAAAGGGCGCTTAGTGAAATCGATATCACGAAAAAGGAATGAGCACTTAGGAAATCCTAATCATTTCCTTAAATAAGAATTCCATGATTCTCAGAAGAGAAGGCTTCTCCGAGACTTTTTCCTGTTCCCGCCCAAACGATTTCGCCAAGCGCTCGAACCGGATCATGGGCCGATTAAAACCCATTACTGATTTCTACGAAAGAATTAGATGACGTCAACGTACTCTTTTTCCTTTTTATGGTTTTTGTCCCAATTGGGTTTTTCCGTACCAAGGTTTTAATGAGGCGGCACGAATCTACATTCAGCATGCACCTAGGCACTAAGATCCGATTGAAGTGATGTATTTTACTAATGATTCTCAAGCTCGTCCTCTATTCATGAAGCTCGCCGAGATCAAACTACATTTGACCTGCCGAGCTGGCGGGGGGACTTATTGTTAGAGGAGAAATTAGCACATTTCCCTGAGCCCGTCATCATTAGTAAAGTACAAAGCCCAATCCGATTTTAGGCCTAACATCTTCAAGAAAAAGGCAAGACTTGAAGAGAAAGGCACAATCCATGGAGAAATGTAAATAAATCTTCATGCCGACTTAAAGAATGGAGAAAGATCCAAAAACAAGAGGGATTTTCCATATCGCAAAAGAGGAAGTTTTCCATCTCGCCTGAAGGAGAATACTCGCCATTCGGCCGACTTATCAACCATATATATTGAAGACCCCCCCTTGGGAGAGGGATCCGAAATCATCTAGAATCACTAGGCTTTCACATTAGCTTTTACTCTATCCTCTTGTTCACCATCATAATCTCGCTAGGCTTGTTAGCGAGATTGCTCTCTTGTAATCTTCTTGATAATCTAAGAGTCGAATTAAGCGCTCCAGTTTCCTAAACTCACATCTAAGATAGCCCGTCTTAACGAGTGCTATCTCGGATTCAACACTCAATAGTAAAAGTATAATAGTATAGAGAACCTCACTTATATATTAACGGAAACGCATGAAATTATTTTGATTTATGCCAAAAGACTAAGATTAAAATACATGAAATTATTTGTAGTACAGTAAAACAATGTTAGAAATCACATGTTATCTTAAAATTAGTATGCAGCTTTCATAAATGACATGAGTAATTGAAATGTGGATAAATGAAAACAATTTGTTTGCTGTATATAGCAACTAGTAGTACTATGATTTCCGCTGTATAAAAGAGTTTGACGAATCTACACATGCAAAAGTTGTTGGGCTTTAGTTTATGAACTAAAACTTTTCCAAGCCCACGTGTTCGCCTTTTTAATGAATTGATTTTCGGGAAATTGTTATGTGTGAACAATCCGAATTACGTGTGGTTTCAGTTTGGTTATTTTACGTTTCGGCATTTTTTATTTTATAAAAGCAAAAGTATTTGTAGGTGACTTTCCAATTGTAATGCAAAGAGCGACACTCTAGTGTGGTGTGGTCCGTGTGGAAGGAGGTTCAAACGTGTATTGGACCTACTTTGTTCTCTTGTTTACGATGCTCTTGTTGGGCTTTGGTTTTGAATCAAATTATTTCCATGCCCATGTGTTCCCTTTTTAACGAATTGACTTCTTATTCACCGAGAACCATTCAAACAAGGATAGTGAATTATTATTATTCATATGTGGACTTGTTTATTCGAGTTGAAGCGGTATAATTAGCAAGAAGTTTTAGTGAAAGGTTAGTGAAAATATGTTTTTGATTAACTTCTTATCGATCAATACCTAGAAATAGAAAGGATGAAAGTATTATCAATTAATTAATCTCAGTCGCTTTTACGTCTTACAAGTGGACAATCGACATTTTTGGTCGTATGGCATTGCCATCAGTGGCGAAGCTACGTTAACGTATACGGTGTCAGTTGACACGTAAGATTCTAAAAATTCTTCTATCTTATTATATAAAGCTGGATGCGCACGACGTGGTTGCAACACGTAGGATTTTTATAAAATTTAGGATTGTGACATGTGTCACTTTTAATGCTATATCCATTAAGATCGTGACATATGTCTTAGAAAAAAAAAATAATAATTAAAAAAAATAGATAAAGGAAAAAAAAAGAAATTTTAATCTTTTATAGTTAAAAGAAAAAAAAATTCATATCTAATAGAAAAAGGTTTCTCATTCATCAAATTTATATTATCCAAACACATATAAGATTCAAATTAATGAAATAAATAAAATCCTATTAGTACATGAAATAGGTTAGGTTTAGTTAATCTTTTATAGTTAAAAGAAAAAAAAATATATTTGTCATATCCTAATAGAAAAAGGTTTCTCATTCATCAAATTTATATTATCCAAACACATATAAGATTCAAATTAATGAAATAAATAAAATCCTATTAGTACATGAAATAGGTTAGGTAAACTAAATTTCCTATAACTGCATGGAATAAGTTACATGAACCCTATAAAAAGAGAGTTAAAGTAGTCTTTTTTTCTCATTCACAAACTCATCAAAGCAAACAACATGATAGCAATACATATGATTTTTATAACTCACAAAATTGCGATATGTGTAATAAAATAATGATAATAAAAAACTAACTAATAATGAAAATGAAAATTTATAATGGTCTGAGTCAAAAACAAAATTGAGAAAGAAACAATATAAACAGAAAACTAACAAATTAATTATCAAGCAACTAACTAATATTAAGAAAATATAATGAACCGATATTCTAATTTTAAATAGTTTAATATATTTTCAATATTGTTAGGTAAAAAATTATTAAATAAAGATTTCATCAATTGAAATCTCTTGAATGGAATAATAAAGTTTTGTTGAATTAATTAATCAGTTGATCATATTTAGACATATATAAGTCTTTCTATATTGGATAAAAATAAAAATAAAACAAATTAATTCATTTTTTATATCATGAATTCAAAAAAAATATCAATTACAATAAAAACGTAAAAAAGGTTACCGATCTTATTTTATTTAAATATTTTTATCGGGTTTTTAATATTATTCTGTTTACTTTAAAATGATCAAATTTGGTTTAATACTTTTCCATGATTTTATTACAAAATCTTAAAATAAACCGCGTATACACGGGTCGTAATCTAGTAGTTTATATGTATTTATGATATTGACACCACTTAAAAATTGTAATTGAACCCATAAGTTTTTGTTCCTTCTAACTTTATTTTATTTATTCTGAACCATAAGAACATTTTAGACATTAACCCATATTTTATTAATGGGCTTTAACATATTTACAAAGACCCAAAATTATTATTAAATTACTAAAACATAAATGTATTGCTTGTTAATCAATACATTAATCCACTAAAAAAAATTCTCTTTCTTTGTTAACCCTAAAATCAAACATGATTGTCACTTCATCTGACCATCCAACTTCTGTTCATCTTCTTAATACTTTTCCAAATTAAAACCAAACAATAGAGCAACTGAGTAAGTTTAATTTTATCATCTAGTTCTTATTTCGTTTTCTGATTTATTTCTCTTGCTTGCTTGGTTGTTAGCTGTTTCTATGTTTGTTTCATGGTTGATTCTTCGTATGTTTTCAACTTAAGGAGTTTATTATTTATATATTAGATGAGTAAGCTGTAATTGTTATTTGGTTTGACTATTTTATTCCTTTGTGATTATGTGAACTAAAACAAAATTGATTGAATAAGCTTTCATTGTTGATTGAGTATTAGACAATAGGTTGTTCTTTTATTTTTATTTTTGGTGTCTTTTAGTTTATATTGAGAAAGATGTATTCGAAACTATTACAAATGAGACTGAAAAGATTTCAAGATACAAAAAAATTGCAGAATTCTTTTGTAAGATAATATATGAGAATAACTTTTTATTTTTATTTATTTGAACCCGGTTAAAAAAAATTCAGGATTCGTCACTGATTGCCATGAAAATCTTAGCTTAATAACTAATAACTATCTACAAACTGTCAAGAAAGATTAAGAAGTCTCTTAACATGATTACAAAAAAAAAAAAAAAAAAAATTAAGATGGATATTTAAATAGCAATTCGAATATCGAAAACAAGATTGGACCACATGTTGTTTTACATTATGTGCCATAGAAACAGTGAAATAACCCAACCTAACTTTATAAAGCTATATATTCAAAAGTTTTGTGAATTTGAATGATTAAAGTTGATCTGTTAGTGTTGCAAATTTATGTAATTAATTCTGGTTTAGGCATGCACGTGTTTTTGAACTAAATATCTTTGAATAATTGTGCATGCATGAACGTGTGTCAATGGTAATTTAACTCAACTAGGCTTCAAAACCCCAAAATACTCATCTATGCGCTTGATATAAGACTTGTGTCATCTTAACATTAAAATACTAAATTCGGTTTGGTTTTGGTTCAACTACTGTTTCTGACGTTTCTAATCGATCAACATTCGATCACACTATTCACACTCTGTTCCTGCTACTATATATAAATATACCAATCAAATCAACTACATTATTTGAGGTTTACTATAAAAAAATTCATGTATAAATTTTGTTGATATGGACATGAACAAATAGTTAGCAGAGACAATGTTATCTCTTTATCTAAAAACAAGTTTTTTAGAAAAAGAAAAAAGAAAAGCAAAATTAGTGAGAACCAGAAGAGAATAGGGTTAAAGTGTTTTCAGTGCCCTACAACCATGTGGCGGTTGACATCTTGCGGATTATAATTGTCATCCATACTTCCTTGTCTTAAAAGTTAAAAGTGATCTAATAACAGTTTCACAATCATAACTACATCTTTTATATAATAGGACAATTTCGAAGAAAATTCCCAATTTTTGTATATTTTTCATGATTAGTTTTGATTTATAGAAAAATCTAAAAGGATTTTGAACTTTGAACTATTTATTATCTGATCAACATCGGGTTTTAGAGCTTTAAAACTGTAACTTTATATCTAGATTAAACGTTTAATTAAGATATGAATAAGGGCCTGACTGGTTTAACCGCTGCGGTTGCGGTTGCGGGTGCGGGAGTTTGCGGAAGCGGGCGGTTGTGATTAGTAGCGTTATTAAGCGGTTTGTACGACTGGCATAACAATTGAAAATGGATGCGTTTGCGGGTTACTTATGACTGGTTCACTTGCGGATGCAATAGCGGTTAAACAATAAATTAATAATATAAACACATTATATAATTATAAAAATATCAAAAATATTATAATGAAAATTTTAAATTTATGGTTCAACATAATTAAAAATAATTTTTTTATAAAGAATAATATGTGTATAATACTTACGTCTATCTTTTAATTTCTATAATTTAAATAAAAATGTGATTTTATTTTCAAAATATATATTTAATGTGAAAATTAAATTTATTTTACAATTTTATTTATTAGATATATATGTATTAGTATGAAAAGAATATTTATGAAGAGAATTTTGATTTGTAGAACTTATAAATATATAAGTATTATATGATTTTAATGAATATTGACTAAAAGTACTAATTTTTTATTTATATTGTGATTTTATTATCCAAATCTTATTTTTTAATAAATATTATTATTTATTTTCGGATTTTATATAAGTTTGTGTTTTTTTTTTTTTTTTAATTATCCACCCGCAACCGCCCGCAACCGCAAACGCTTGCGGAAAGGAGCTTTTGATTTTCAGCGATATAGAGCGGTACAGAGTGGTATAGAGCGATTCAAAGCGGTTGTCGTGATTGTTATAAACCGCCGAAAACCGCTACGAACCGCAAACGCTGCGTTTGCGGGTGGTAGCGGGAGAATCAATTAGGCCCTACATGAATAGTTTTGTTATATGAGACGTCTATAACGACCAACCATTATAGAAATCGTCGTGAAATGACTTGAACCCTAATTCTATCCTAAATGACGATTTAGGGAACTCGATCGGATAATGTCGATAAACACCCATTTTTCTTTAAACCATAATATCCACGAACCTACCTCTCTAACACTAAACGCATATGGTATTGTAATTGTATTAAATTAATAAAAACAGCTGGGCAGTGTCATTATCATTTACTTGACGCATGACTATGTCCTTCCAAACGTTAAAGCCTTTAGAAAAGTCAGTTTCGTCGTGGTCAGATTTTGTGTTCAAGAACGAGTCATGATCATAAGAAAGATTAGTCTCTGAATCAGAAAATTAACTATAACGACATTGCGTACACTTCGTATCTTACCGACCATCCCTCCCGGTCCTAATAAATATATATAATAATAATTAGGGTTTTGTGCAAAATAACCCTCTTAAACTTTTTTTTTTGCAAATCAAACCCTCAATTTAAAGTTGTGCAAATCAAACCTCTGAAGTCAAAATAACCCCGCAATATAAGACATCTCTATATTTATGACAAAATTTAAAATGATTTTATGCAAAAAAACCGCAACTATTTTTTTGTGCAAATCTAACCATCAAACTTAAAAAATATGCAAGTCAAACCTGCAAAGTCGAAAGTCACTGCTAAAATGACTTATATGTATTTGTCTTAACTACAAACGTTGACTCAAAACATCATGACATTTATAATATTTTAACCATTTTTATTAAAAATACTTAAAACAATAATTCAATATTTCTTCTCTTTTTTTCCATCAATAAGGAGAGGGTTGGATTTTTAACCAAATCCAAAAAAACTAAACCGTAACCAATCAGAAAATCAAAACCGAACCAACTTACTCACAATATAATTACTTGGAAGATCTGAAATCCTATGTCTTTATGAGCCTCTCTCGAATAATTCTATTGCGAGTAAATTAGTTCTTATCTTTGTATCTCTTCGTCGTCATTAGTTAATGAGATTATGAAGAAAAGAATCAACTTATTCGCGATAAGATTACTCGAGATAAATTCATTAATAAGAGGAGAAAGAGAAAGGAAATTAAAGATTAAATTTTTTTTTTAATTTACTTTTAATAAAATGGTTAAAATATTATAAATGTCATGACGTTTTGAGTCAACGTTTGTAGTTAAGGACAAATACATATAAGTCCATTTTAGCAGTGACTTTCGATTTTGCAGGTTTGACTTGCATATTTTTAAGTTGAGGGTTAGATTTGCACACAAAAAATAGTTCGCGGGTTTTTTTGCATAAAATCATTTTAAATTTTGTCACAAATATAGAGATGTCTTATATTGCGGGGTTATTTTGACTTCAGAGGTTTGATTTGCACAACTTTAAATTGAGGTTTGATTTGTAAAAAAAAAATTTAGTTTGAAGGTTGTTTTGCATAAAACCTTAATAATTAATATACCTACGAATAAGATAGTTTAATGTAGAAGACACTGGTTCGTTCTTTAAGCCAATAAACTTGCTATAACACACGCCTACGTACATGTGATTCATCAAATTGTAAAAGTTTGATACGAATCGTGTGAACTATATAACCATGCTTATTAAGACGGGTAAATCATTAAAATTATATTCCTTCTTAGCAAATTTGAACCGTAAAACACAAGGAAAATCAAAATAGCTTAGAAAACAATGAATAATTGGCACCACGACGTTAAGCATAACTTTACATAGAATGATAAGAAGAGGAAAAGTAGAATTCACGTCAATTATTTCTATTTTTCCCCTTTTTCTTTGCTTTGCATTGGTGATAATAATTCACATTAATTGGTAATACACACCATGTGAGAAATATTCATAAAGGAACCGAATAGGACAAGCTCGAAAGAGAATTGTATGCCTGTCACTTGTCTTGTCGTACTTTCTAATTGTATTTTAGAACTCTATCATTTGATTTGATATATTATCATTATTTAGTCATTATTATATATCACCAAAATTAGCTTAGTAAAAGTCTAATTAAAGATTATCTTTGGAAACGTCATTCTCGTAATTGTCTTCCTCATACAGTTTACATTGCCACCTAATGTAGATGTAATACAGTTCAACTCGTTAGTCCTTTTTCTTTAATCACTATTTAATTTTTGTAATCTCAACTACCAATTACACATTGACATTGTATTAGATTATTCAAGTAAACGAATCAAAAACGAATCAACTACTAATTACTCAGAAGAAGATTGTTCGTCTAAAACAAATCATTTAGAATCATTGATTGAAACCTACGCCTGCCTACTTGATCCACAAAAATTTCCAAGCAAATTATTATTTTTATCCAATAAGAAGTAAGAGGTTGGGGGGAAGACAAATTAATTAATTTCCAGTTTGAAGAGATTATGGATTGAAGATTCAAAAATATTTGGTAACTAAAAAAAAACTACAGTATTAGTTCTTTTTTTGAATTTTTTGGTAAGAATAATTACTCTCTTCTTTTGGGTTCAACGATAATAATTCCAGTTTATCAAAAAAGAAGAAGTTAAACATAAAATCTGACTAAAGTTTTATATTCTCAATCAGATGACAAAAACATGTGTTTACCTTAGCAAATTATCAATACAAACTGATTTTTAATGATTGTATTTTTTCCACATAACATATAAACATTGTATGTTTGAAAAAAATAAACTTTTCTTATTTTCTTCCGTATCATCTATGTACTAAAAATGTTGTTATATCATTAAAATAATTTACAGGATATAACAAATTATTTAAATAAATACAGAAGCTACTAAACATAATTCATTTATGTCATCTGCCCCAACCTAAATAAGCATAAGGATGATAATAAATATCTTAAATTAGCAGCCTCTTCCAAGAAAGAAAAAATAAATCTAGATTTAAACATTGATAAAGACAAACTAACAAATCAACGCAAAAAACAATTACACCACAATAATCTAAAAATATTAAAACTCAGAGAAGTTGGCAATAGGTCCCACAAAACACACTGTCAGAAAATCTTCAGAGTTTCAGAGAAAGAAACAGAGAAGAAGAAGAAGAAAGAAACCAGAATCAAACAGTAAATCCAGGAATAATATCTTTCTTACCAAATCAAACTCAACAACTTTATCATCTCTTCTTATTCTTGTCTCTTCCATTTCCAGAGAATATAGATCCCAAACCAAACAGATTCCCAGAAGGAACCATGTTGATAACCGGACTCACTCTAATCCCACCTCCTCCATGGCTTCCGTAACTGTAACCTCCGTAATTCTTCTTCAACGGCGGTTTCTGAAAACTACTGTTACTTGACGATGATGAAGAAGAAGATGATGATAACGACGACGATTGTTGAAGCTTTATATGCTCTGTTGCTGTGTGTTTCCTCGCGCTCTGTTTCGGTTTACTCGAAGTCGAACCGGTCGAATTGCTTCGGTTTAGTAACGGTAACGGACATAGACTCCGTCCGTAACTACTTCCACAGTTTAAACTGCTGCTTCTCTTAAACCCCCAAAACGACTTCGTATTGGGTTTCTCCTCCGTTATGACGGCGTTATTATTATCTTCTTCCTCTTCGACCGGTTTCCTCTGTTTTCTCGAATCCGGTTTACTCGGTTCGGGTGTACCGGTATCGGATCCTTTTCGACCCGGACTGCGCGATTCGGGTTTTTTCTTGATTTCCGTCGGCAAGATTTTGCCGTTGCGGAAGAGCTCGTCGGCGGACCAAGAGCCTTGGTCGAAGCTTTCGCCGGAAGTTACGCCGCCGGGAATGCAGAAATCGAAATCGATGCTTGAGTTGAGACTCGACGGTTTAGAATTCGACGGTGATCGTAACGGACGTTTCTCGATTGGTATTGCATCCGATTGACAAAAATCACGAGAGAAAGAGATTCTTGGACTCATATTAGAATTTTCCGATAAAAGATCCACCGCCATTATCACAAGAATCGGTGAAAACGAAGAGAATTTTTCTCGAGAATTGTTGAATATTTTCTTGCAGAATAAAGATGGAGAGAGAGAGAGAGAGAGAGAGACGTGGAGAGAGATTTTGGGGAAGAAGGTGAAGAAGGCGGAACGATAGGAAGGAGTAGATTTTAATTTGTTTTTTTTATAGGTGAGTTAAAAGAAAATTTTGATTTTTAATATAATAAAAAATGGGAAAATAATAAAAGAATTTTTCGTGTGAGAAAACAGAAACTGAGAAAGGAGAAGGAATAATACAAAAAAATGCTAAGATAAGAGGGGACAGAGAAGCGTGTCTCTTGCTCCATATTCACATGCATGGGCCAAAAAAGGATATATGTTGGTTCTTCACTTTGTACCTTTTTATTTTCTATGGTATAATTTAATTTTAACTTTATGTATATGTCGATATATGTGTATTTTGGAAATAAAAATTTGTAAGCGGAGTTTATTTGATTTTGGATTTAGAAAGAGTTGATATTTTAAAAAAGTTTCACTGTCAATGAAATAGTTTTTTTTTATTCAGTGTTCTTAATCACTTGATGTAACGGTTTAAAGGATGCCTGTTCAAGTGTTCATATGGCTCTCATTTTCCGGAGGAAACTCGATCGGCTTGTGGATGATAAAATTTCTAAATCACTTGACATCAACATAGATGCTGAACCTTACGTTGTTAATTCTCAATTCTTGAAGTTTGCAGCAAAATTATGCTTATACCTTATTTTTCTGTTTCTTAATTAATTTGAAGAGAGGTACATAATACCTAAAGAAAGCCGAATCTTTGAGCTTTGACATAATGTAAAAGAAAATATGATGAGATGTCAAAAACACTTTTGACCATTACCAATCCATCATACACAAAACAAAACCAACAGAAACAACACTATAAAACCCTAAAAAAAAAAATTAAGCTCCCTCGTTCAAATCTGTTTCTTCCGAAAACGCTCCCATTCCTCAGTTTAACTACCTCCAAGTAAAGTTAAACTGGCCGTATCCCGCAAATGGGTTAACATTAAAAGCCGCAGGTTGTACTTGCATCAACTGAGTAGCACCATCGTTTCCATTTGGCATCATCAAGCCCTGAGGAAACCCTAAGCTGGTTAAATTCTCCATGCGATTCGGGTCCATTTGAATCTCATCATCAGGAGATGGGAAGAGCGATAAACCCATACTATTATTATTATAGCTAGGGAACATGCCTTGATGAATCTGTTGCTGCTGGTTAGTAAAATATTGTGTCATGTAATCATGCTCCACAAGAGCCTGCGGGTTTGGTATCTCTATGGCTTGATGATGATGATGATGATTCATAGCCATGGTGCGTTTCTGTCTCATCACAGCTTCATGTATCTTGTTATCCACGGAAAAGAGAATCCCTTGCAGCTGCTCTAGTGAGCACTTGTCTAGCTTCTCCTCCCAGCAACAATACTTAGTATTATTACTCTTCACTCTCTGAGTACGATTCTCCATCTCTTTTGTCTTCCCTAAATCGTTAACAAAAGTCTCAACTTGTGTTTCTTTCTTGGTGCTGCTCGACACTGAGTCTCTGTACTTTCTAATGATTCCTCTGACTTTTGCCTCGTCACTCGGCCATACCTCTGGCTCGGAAACTTCCTTATCGGTCGCCTTGGTGGGACCGTAGACTATGAGACATGTCTGAACGCCGCAGAGAGTTGAGAACTCCTCTGCCTTCTTGTAAAGACAAGCTTTCCTCTTCTTGTACGTTGTTATCCTTGTCTTATCGTTCTCTATCCTTCGTAGGTCCACTACTTTCTTCTGAGCCATCCTTTGTAACCTGATTTACTATCGTTATTACACAAAACATATAAACACATTTCTTATCAAATGAAAATATATACATATAGACACATATAATTAATTGATATTTTTTTGTGAATAATCGTTTCTGTTTATATAGGCGTTTATGTAGATAGTGTACTAAAACTCAAAATTTAAAACTTGCTCCTACTTAATCGATCAAAAGCAAAGCCAAGGGTCGGAATCCGAGAAGCAGGGGCTAATTTCCAGACATCTACACAACAACATAAATCTAACAAGAACTTCAAAAGAAAAGAAAAAATCCCACAGCAAAACGAATTATAGACAACGGAACATGAGGAGCCCTAGAACTAGAGCAGAACAAAATAAGTTGTTTATGCAAAAGATCGTATTCTTACTTGAATATCAAAGCAAAGTTTCAACAAGATATTATGCGAAAACCATTTTTGGAGATGATCTGTCGGAATGATGGTGAACCGAGCTTATATATGAGAAGTTTTATATATATGGAGTTTGATATAGTTATCGTCGTCGTTCAGGAAGGAAGTCAAATATCACAAGATATTACCTTTCGATGAATATGAGAGTTTAGGAAAGAAAAAATCAAAATGGAATATCTTTGCCAAAATGGAATATATGCTAAGTTGACAAGCCACCAAAATAATAAAAGAAAACTGATTGATCAATGAAAATTCGCAATAAGAGAAAAAAGAAAAATAAGTAAATTGATCTGATCTATCAGAATCATCAATTGGTTTGATCATTTACTTAACCAAGTTAAGATAAATTTGTTTTCGTTTAAGGAAGGAAGTCAAATATCACGAGAACCTTGAAATGAATAGGAGAGTTTAGGAAAGAAAGATCCAAAATGGAATATCTTTGCCAAAATGGAATATATACCAACTCGACAATCCACCATAATAATAAGAAAATGATTGATCATAGATAAATTCGCAATATAGAGAAAAAGGACAATCTATCATATACTAAAGTTTTGTTACAAACTCTATCAACCTAATAAGGTATATCTAAAACCAAAACAAATGATATGAATGTTAGATATGTTTACTATTGTGTAATACGCAAAGCTACCCTTTTAAAAATGTTCAAGATGTACAACTTTACAAACAAAAAAGACTATGCATGTTTAATCATATCGCTCCTAAATCCTAGTATGTTGTGATGATAACTATCTATAACCAAGTGAAAGAAAAAAAATACTCCTACAAAGACTATTTGATGTTAGCAAAAAATTCGAACAATTTAATTAGTTCGCCATTCAAACTTGTATCTTACATAAATTATTTATACTGACCATACTGTGCCAAACCAACTACATTTATTCTAAGGGGATGATTGGTAGGGGCTGTGGTTGCTCTGCACAGCTCTAAATCTCTTTACAGCAATACAAAATTACCAATCAAGCTTTCATTCCATCTCTTTCCATTTTTGAAACACAGATCAATTTTTTTTATTTATGGAAGTTCCGTGACTTTGGAAAGCAATTTTTCTAGAGCATCAAATTAAGTGCTCTTAGAATTTGCTCTATTCGCTTTCCTTATAAATCTTTCAACATTTATTTTTTAATTTATTATTTCTATATCTAACCTTTTTGTTTTAATGTTATATTTAATGACACAATCTACAATAAAAAATTTCTACAGCATTAATTCTACATCAAAAAAAATAAAGCTACATCTATAACCAATCAGCCCTTAAACCTGACATTATTGTCTTATTATTCAGTTCGTAGATTTATCTAACCAAGTTAGTTTTGTCTTTACTGATTTAGAACATACAGTTTATGCTTCTCATTTTCAGTTTAAATCGTTAGATGATAGTATATTTATTTAAATTGTATAAAAATCATTTAAAAAATAAGCAATATGGCTGGCATTGTTGATAGTGATATACAATACCTCCTGATTAACAATACGAGCAGACACATGTCACATATACATATAAAGAATATTTGTGTGTGTGTGTGTGTTAAACCACATAAGACGATGCCTTGTTATCTACTTTTCTTTAACTTGGATATGAAATGTATGTACATATCTAAATTTTGATATGTTTTCTTTGTCACTGTCGCTACACGGTAGTCGTTGTTTCTTTCATATTTGGTTTCTAATGATTTCCTGTGTACGTATATTCCTTTAAAAATGCATATAATTAACAAACTTGTACTTGCTACAAACAACTTGTAAAGCTGTGAAAAAATCTCTAATTATTCAAGTTCTCTTTTAATGGGGTTATACTACTTTATATTCTAACCATGGGGATCTTTTGTGGTAGAAAAAAAATCCAAACTAGTGTATATTTATTTAATCAGATGATCAGTCATGATCGAGTTTGCTTTTCATCAAATGAAAATCGACTTTTCTTAGATTGAAAGTAAAGAAATGGTTATAATGTGATAGAAAGAAAAGAGAAAAGGAGATTTCATATTATCTAGAGAATGATATATACATTTTTTTGTGAATTATATGAAAAAAACAGGAAAACAAAGTAAGCATGGCCATGGGTCCGATGGCTACGTACTTACCGAAAACGAAGAAACCCACTAAAGAAAAAGAAAAAAACTGAAGGGTTAAGAAATGGTCCACGTTTCTTCCCAAAACCTAACCCTTTCAATCTCATAATCCGTTTGGATCGTCCACGAGCCCACCTGAAACAAACCCGACCCGACCAAGAATTGCCTACTCCTTTGGCTCACTTTACCTATTTTGGCTGCTCACGATAATACTAAGAGGAAGTTGTCCAATCAAGTTAGGGTTTGGTTAATGATGACGGACCTATGTAATATCGGATTTTTCTGATCCTACGAAACAATAAAGATGGTCCAGCCCGACAAATAGCATTGGTGATGTTTCTGCTGACAAGTACCGGAAACAATAATCAAACTGCTTTTCTTTTGTACATAAATTGGTTATAAAAGACGTCAAGAAATTCAAGTTTTTTTTTCCCTTTTACAAGTTTTTGTTGTTGTTAAAGACCCTTTTTTATAACAATTATGCATACTATAAACATTTACAAGTGAATGACATGATACACGAATGCATACATTTATATAATCTACGTTTATTTTAACATCATTTATCATTTCATATGACAAATTACATAGAAAATGTAATTGTGAAAAACAAAAAATGGACGTGTGGATCCATTTATGTTTTACCTCGTATCTGCCTACTTTATGTTTTTATATTTTGGTTTTAGTGACTGCGAATTAGCTTTGATTGATCTTATCATTTTCCTAATACGTGCGAAAAATATAATATTAGTTCAAAATATAGAGGCTATACACGTGACTGTATCTACGAGCTCTTAAACCGTATATGTCGTCCTCGTAAGGCCGTAACTCCTAAAAATGAAAATGATTCATATGGCATGAATCTTGATCATAGACTGATGAAGTGACTGGAAGTAGTTTGACATCGTTTGGTATCTTAACCACTTATTCGAAAGTGTTCTTTACACCGGATAGCATAGTCACACTACATACTGTTAACTTAAGATCCAAGTAAAATGTGGCCTTATCCATCGAGTTGTTTGGGTTTTTGTAGGATAGGATCCATACATCATCTCTAGAGCAAGCCCAAAAGATTAAAAGTTAAAAATACAAAATTGGCACTAAGTGGTTTCCGTTTACCTATAGACTATGGATCTGGATCCATCGATCTTTGTATGTTAGGTGGATGATTATTGGACAAGTGACCGTGCAACTAATAATAGACGTGAAATCACGTTTTTGAACTTTATAGCTTGATTTGGTCGACGAAGAAATGTCTTAATCACTTTTAATTCAATTTTGAGACAAATTCAAGTACATTATTCATATGGTCTTTTGACCGGAAGAGTTGCCTGATTTTTGCATCAGTTAGGTGAACTAGCAAACATTTGAAGTCTTTTATAGACCACATTCATCAACTTCCCAAAGTTCGTAGAAATTAAACGCTTTATTCTTATTTATTTGTTTGGTCATATATGGATCATATTTCGGTTCGTTTTTTTTAAGTTGGTTTAATCACAAACCTGAAAAGTGAAAACAGAATCAGCCTCACAAGTCATATATGATTGGTTTGTGAGGCTGAGGGTCTGACTGGTTTAACCGCTGCGGTTGCGGTTGCGGGAGTTTGCGGCTGCGGGAGTTTGCGGAAGCGGGAGTTTGCGATTAAAAGCTGTTTGTACGACTGGTATAGCAATTCATAGCGGTTGCGTTTGCGGGATATTTTTGACTGGTTAGCCAGCGGGTGCAAGAGCGGTTTAACCAAAAGTTACTAAAATAAAAATAATATATAATTATTCAAAACATTTATAACCATATTAATAATTTTTTTTTTGAAATATATTTTTTGATGAATTTTTAATTTGAAAACTACCCTTTTTTTTTGGTTTTGAAAAATACACTTTTTATATGTAAAATGATTATTCCTAATTTAATAAAAACGAAATTCAAATAAGAAATATAAAATATTAATATTTGATAATAATTTTGTATCATTTTAACATCCTAATTACCTGTTTAGTTTTTTTTTAAACAATTTAATAAAAATATAAGATTGTTTATATAAAGTTTAAATGGGGTGAGATTAAAGTTGTTTATGCAAAGTTTCAAAAATATTTAAATTTTTCAAAAGATAAACATTAAAAATGAAAGATATATTTCTCCACTTTTAAATTTTTAATAATTTATAAACTTTAAATATATGTAAAGTTTTAATTTATTTAAAGTTTCATTTGGTTTGAATGTGTATGAGGTTAAGTTGTTTATATAAAGATCCAAAATATTAAAATTTGTTTCAGTTTAACATATACTATATTTATTTGAAAAAAAACTTATTAGTTTATTTTTTTTTAATTTTCGTTTATAATTTGTATTATTTTTTTGTTTAAATCACGTCAAAACATACTTTTTACATTTTAAAAGTGTATTTTTCAAAACAGAAAAAATTTAGGGTATTTTCGAAATTTTTAAACATAATTATGGTATTTTTCAAAAAAATATACCCTTATTCCAAATTTGGAGATATTATGTTTTTTTTTTTTTTTTTTCAAACCGCAACCGCCCGCAACCGCAAACGCTTGCGGAAAGGAGCTTTTGATTTTCAGCGATATAGAGCGGTACAGAGTGGTATAGAGCGGTTGAAAGCGGTTGTCGTGATTGTTATAAAACGCTAAGAACCGCTACGAACCGCAAACGCTGCGTTTGCGGGTGGTAGCGGGAGAACCAATCATCACCTGATTCTGTTTTCAGGTTTGTGATTGGTTTAATCTAAACCGGATGAACAAATAAATAAGTCTTTATTGGTTTGATTAACAAAACCAAAGCTCATAAGGAAAAAAAGGAAAGTGATGACAATTAGGAAGAGGAAAGAAGCTTAGTCGCTATAGAATTCATAGGTTCTCTTCTACTATAAATATATGTCATTGTCTATTCTTTTCTCTTTGTACCGATCAAGCTCTTCTTTGCTTATTGATTCTTAAATCTTGGTTTTAAAGCTTTGTAGGGTTACTCTCTCTCGCTTCCTCCTGTTCGTTGTTATGAAGATTATGATAAAGGGAGGGGTGTGGAAGAAGACCGAAGATGAGATTCTCAAGGCCGGCGTGATGAAGTATGGTAAGAACCAGTGGGCTCGGATCTCGTCTCTTCTCGTTCGTAAGTCGGCCAAACAGTGTAAAGCTCGCTGGTACGAGTGGCTCGATCCTTCTATCATAAAAACTGAATGGACCAGAGAAGAAGATGAGAAACTTCTAAATCTTGCAAAACTTATGCCTACTCAGTGGAAAGCTATCGCTCCTATTGTCGGCCGTACACCATCTCAGTGCCTTGAGAGGTACGAAAATCTTCTTGATGCAACGGATGATCCACGGAAACTAGGTCATGGCAGCAATCAAGCGTCGTCGCTGATAGAGTTGTTTCTTGCTTCCTCAAAAACATAGTTTGTTTCTTTCTTTTTTTTTTTGCTGGTTTTGTTCTTCGTCCTTACAATGACACAAAACGTATGCAACGTTTTGGTCCTCATTGGAATGATACTTAATTTATATAGTTTCTTGTTATCAATATATAGAAATTACAATACTCAAACTCGAATCTTCCGGATCCAAAACCCCATATTTTATTTTCGTCTGCCTATTTTGCTGTAGAATCTTGGATTCTTGTAGTCCAAGTCTTATTTCCAGATGATGTGTTCTCGTCTTTTAAATTGTAAGACACATGATCATCAGAATCTCTTTGGTACAAGCCAACAAAACCAAACCAACACACTACTGAGAATCTTACACTCCAGCTAATACTCATTTTAGAGAAATAATCTTTATCCTGAAATGATCTCAATTTATAAAAGGAACAAAAAAGGTTTCCAAACAATATTAATGGCATAGAGCCTAAAATGAGAAAATGAAGACATGAAAACAACTTCTACCGAGAGACTTAGCTAGTGCATGAATAGTTTCGGCAGAGAAAATATGGCATAAAGCCTTGAGACTTACTGCAGTGAATTGCCATGGACTAGAAACTCTAGAACTTGATTTCTCTAAATAACGAAGAGGAGGATATAATAGTCATGCCATTAGAGAAAATTAGTACTAACTAGGGCTTGGCCCGCGCGATGCGCGGGTTGTGTATATTACAAACTATTTATTTATTATGTATAAAGTCAGATTTTCATAATTATTACATTTATTCAATGTTTATATATTTATCATTTTTAAACTCTATTCATATAGTTATAAATTAGTTAAGAAACATAGAATTAAAATCAAAATCAAATATGTTGTTTTTAATTTTTAAGGTAAAGAAATGATGAACTATTAAAACTTTTGTTTTAAACAGTATGCATGTAAGGAACTAATGTCTCCACTCAACTTTTATAACATCCATGCCCAAGAGATGGAGAAGCAAGTGAGAGAGAGAAGCATGCATTTTATCCCGTGTATTATATATGAATGAATGATACTGTTGTAGATTTGAAATAAACAAATGTAATCTCAAATACCTCACATTGCTAATGTATGTGTTCATAATGCTGAAGATCAAACGGGCGAGAATGGAAAATATAGTAGTGAGTGAAGGAAAATAGTAAGAGCATTGAAAAATGTGAAATCATATGAACTTTATTAAGAGTTGGTTGCTTGTTGAAATAAGTTTCTTATAAATTATACATCATTTTATCAGTAATCTAAAATCACTAATACATAAGTTTTAGATATGTTCATCATCGTCATCCAACATCTTAGCGAAGATCAAGGTTCACATTTCTGAAGTTTACAAAAAGGTGTAAAATCACTTATATTGGTAAAAACAACAGTTTTAATTTATTTTGTATATATTTTGTAGCCTTAGAAAAAGAAAAGAGATAGATTTACCTGTGATTTTCACTTTTTCCACACCTGTAAGACTAAGGCAACACTTGGTGGTTGGTTGATAGCTTTGGCCCTCTCTAAGTTTTCTCTCTGGCTTCTCACTAATCGCACCTCTCGTCGCCGTTGTCTCCTGGCCGGCTCCGGTGGCTTCTTCAACGCCGGAGTCCGGATTTAATGCTTTCTTCTTGATTTTAATGTTCTCTAGTCCCTTCTTCTCAGGTTTCTATGGTTGAAAACGAAGCTTCTGCAAATTGGTCGAACTTTCCAGATCTGATCGGAATTTGGTGTTCTTGAGGTTAGTGGTTTCCGGATCTGTAAGATCTTCGGTGTGACTATGGTTCTTACTCCACTTTTGGTCTCAGATCCAAGATCTCTGCACTAGATCTGGTTTTTCCTCCGTCTCGATTCTCGCGCCATCGTTCAATCTTCTGTGTGCTTCTGAGGAGTTCACTTTGGTGGGTTTTCTCCGGATCGATCTATCTCGTGCTCTCTGAAGCTTGGTGATATCCGGTTTGAGTCGTCGCTCCTTGTCGCTACCTTCCGTTCTGATCGAGAGCTCCTTTCTCCATGGCGCTTCTATCGAGGCGCAACCGTTGCTAGTCACCGACATCACCGCATCCGGAAGACTGAGTATCTTGCCGGGTTATGAAGGGTGGTTTTTTGAGTTGGAAGGTAGTTTGCGTTTCTCAGGGAGGTTTATGCTACCGTTGTTTGGCCGAGGGCATCTCCGGTACAGTCTTGAAAAGGTTCTCCAGAAGTTTGAGGTGTTGAATTGGTGGTCCGGATATCTGAGTTGGGTGGTGTTCTTCGTTCTCAGTTTAACCATTTGTGTTCTTTTTGTTTTCATCTATTTTGCTTGTGTTGATAAGATTGGTTTAGTTTAAATGTATTTTATCTGGCTTCTCTTTTTTGGACTTTGTAATCCTCTTGGTTTCTAATAAAAATCTCAGATGACAAAAAAAAAAAGTAAGACTAAGGCAACACCCAAAACTTTTGTTTTTTTTTTCACGAAAAGTTAAAAAGAAAAGAAGAAATATTACAATTGGACCCAAAAGATCCTCCAAATTTGCTGAATTGGCCCAAAGAAAGCGAGAAGGAATAAGATCGTAAAATCTTAACCTTGGAGGTTCTTCTTCTTCTAGCATTTACAAAGAGAAATTAGAGGAATAGCAATAAAAGCATCAATGCCACTGATACGAACTTCCACATCTTCTCATCATCCATTCCTCCAAAAACGCTCCTTAACTCATTCTGCAGATCAACAATGCTTCTCTTTGACTGCACACACAAATTGTCAATCAGAAACTCAGAGGACGTTAAGTTTTCATCTTTGGATCAAGAAGAGGGACTCACAGTTGAAACCAAATTCTTGGACACAAGTTCATGTTCTTTGACAAAGATTTATTTTGCATACTTGTATAGCTCCACGTCTAGGTTGTTACACAATTTGATCTGTTGAATGACCTCGTTGGGAACTCTTGTACGCGTCTGTAAAAATTCATTTATCAAGAGATTGGTTATTCAGGCCTCCTCTCATTTACTTTGCTGCTTTTGAATCATGTAATAAAATATTCTTACCCCCTCTGGTAAAATTTGCTGGAGAAATTCTCTTCAAGGAGTTGACTCGTCTGGTTCCTTGCATCTTCCGTAAATGAGTATTGCAACCTTCATAGACTTTCATTAGGATTTTTACCGTCATCTGTAAGTGTATACAATAGACATCAAATCACAAACCAGCTCATATCGGTGATCATAAATGCGAATAGAGAATTTTTTATTTACATTTCCACTCATAGCTTCTATGTTTCTGAAGTTGCACTCATTTTCAGCAAGAAAACTACAATTGACAGCCGAACAAGAAAAACTATTACCTGCAGGAGCAGGAATTTACCTGAAATTTACTCTTATCTGATGCCGATTCTGAAATTGTAACACTTGCTTCTGGAGCATCAAGAAAATATAGTTGAGAATTTTGTAACAGAATATCAAAACCTTAAACACATAATCATGAATTTTATATGATGATTTTTGGACTTTTAAGAGCCAAAAACTAAAGTACAAAACCATCTCCAATCAACATCTTAATCATACATCCAAGAGCAATACTCTGAGCAAACTGCAACCACAGAATGATCTATTACCTTCACTCTAAGTTGCTAGGTTCATCTCAGACAGAACAACAATGATAGAAAGAAAACTGAAAGGTGCGAAACGTTCACCAACCTGATTTAGTAGTTTCAGTTTTCGTAGTTGCATTTGACGGAAACACTTGAGAAAGCACTTGCGAACCCACAACATTTGGCAAAAAGTGATGCAGATTCCCTAGGCTCCTCTGTCAGTCCAACATACAACATGATGTCCAACCTTCTATGCAAGATGGAAAAAGCTTATAGAATCAGCAGATTTTCAAAGAACAATAGCAAGATACAGTGCATTACGATGAAAACAAGCGTAACTACCTTGGCGACTTGGAGAACAGGCTCACCAAGGCTTTTGTACTTCTGTACACAATGCCGAACCTCGTGTGCTTCTGATAAATGGGAGTTATTTGTCAATCCGGCAATCTGTGAAATGAAATGAAAATGCTCTGGGGGATCTCTATATAGCAAAAAGAAACAGCAGCAAAAGTACCTTTAACGTTGCTCCATTGTCGATTATGTCATGAGCAGTAGGCGTATCGAGATATTTGTGCAAAGGCATAAGCATTTCCTCCATGTCATATGGGTTATCGTCCTCGATGATAACTATAACTACGCCCTTTGATTTCCGTGCATTGAGAGCCAGTGCTGTAGAAGATACCAACTTACATGGCGTGAAGTGGTTTTGTTTCTTGAACATGCGTGGTGGTTTCTTGGCCACCACCTTGAGAGCCAGTGCTGTAGAAGATACCAGCTGGTTTACCGGCGAGTGACAAAGTCCTCCAGAGTCCACCGGTTGCGTCTAGGAAGGCTTTGAACTGAGCAGCCATCATTCCGAACCTTGTTGGGAATCCAAAGACGAAAACATCAACTTCGTTAGCTCGTTGAGAGTGATGCTTGGGGATTCCCTCTTTGGTGCTGCGTTCATTTTAGAGAGTGCCTCTTCTGAAAACGTCTCAGGTACCTGTGGACAACAAACAAGTTCATCATCAGGTTCAATACTTAATGACATAAGCTAGCCACAAACAAACTAAACAATCCAGACAAAGCTAGCATCTTTTTGATTCTGGAAAACTTGCTAAGTTAATGAAATCATCAGTCAAAAATCAAAACCGAGAAACTTGGAAATGGCAATGGCTCTAAGAGTGTTGGAAGCTTATGTTAAAATGTGTCCAAGCTACTTTCAAGACTCAAAATCAAGCTCATCAACAGAGTTAGAGAGAAGTAAGTGAGTAAGCAAATTTTCACCTGCCATAGTTTGGCTTCAACGCCTTCAATAGAAGCAGCTCCTTTCCTGATTTCTTCAGCCAATTTCTCCACATGACCGTACATAGAGTAGTACCTGCAAAATATCAAGAGGAGATTCAAAGTCAACTTGAGATCCAAACTCCAAACCCAGCAATCAATTTTACAAGTAGCTAAATCACAATCCCATATCGACAAACTTCAGGATCAGAGATCAAAAAAATCGAAACTCTAAAGACGAATGATACAAATTTGAGTTTTTTAGCCAAATCATAAATCAAACCATCGCAAATTCCAAATTTTCAGAATTGCCCATGACTCAAAAGCAAGTAGTCATAGAGATAAATCAACACTGAAAAATAATCAGATCGTTCACTAATTTAGTCTGCCCAAAAACCAATTTGCAGCTTAGAACAGATAAGTATTAATAGGCATATCGATATTAAGGCAAGCTGAGAGGATGTGAGTAATGACATTTAACACAGCGTTACGAAATGGTAAAGTAAAGACATATTAGAGAGGGCCAGACGAAGAGACATGACCTCTTTGCATTGCAATGTAAGCCGTTACAGGGGAGGTAAATCGTTTGATGAAAGAGGAGAGATGTAACGTTCATGAGTCATGACCGTAATAAACAATCAATTCGGAATTATTGGAAAAAAGGGCTCAGGAATGACAAATGAGGAAATCAAACTGGGCTTTACAGTGGGTTTACCTGATTTGGAAAGAGGCCAAGGTGGAAGAAGGTTCTCCGGAGGAAGCGAGAAACCCTAATGCTGAAGAAGTAATCGAGAAACTGATTACCTGAAAAAAAAAGACAACAGAAGAAAATTCAGCAGCAGTCGGGAAACGAAAACTCTAGCGTGATTGCAGGCGTTGATGTTAATAAACCATTAACACCACCGCCACCGCCGTTAGTGATGGCGTGATTGTGAATTGCCGCCGGCGACGATCATTTGCTCCAACGATTGGCAAGCGACGGATTCTGCTGCTGATGACGAACACATGGATCGAGAACAGAAAGCCAACCGAAAAAGGATTCTAGGGTTCGCAAATCAGCAGCAGTCAGGAAACGAAAACTCTAGGGTGATTGCAGGCGATATCTGTTTTAGGGTTTTATTGAGGAGTTTCGGCTGAGAAGAACTGATTTGTCGGAGGAGAGACAGAGGAGATGAAACGCGTGCGTTTGGAGACGGCTGAGATCCGAGATACAGTTTTTCTTTGGTCGGCTCTGTGGTGTTTGCTCGGCGAAGCGGAGATCCGGTGAGGCGAGTAGGCGATCGCGCTTGAGTGACGGCGATATCAGGGGGAAGAGAAAAAAAAGAAATGAGTATGGGTTTTTTTTGTAAAAAAATAATGTATAAGAACTGGTACCGAATTATGCAATTTTTGGGTGTTTGGGGTTATTCTGTAATGAAACTAATTTCGGAGGACTGGATGCGAAATATTTTCTCTGTTTTTTTTTTTTTAAAAAGAGCATGTCACGTGGTGGACACTGGAAAGAAGTTATCCTCTCATCTTTATTACTCCCTCTGTTTCAATATATAAGGGATTTAAGGTTTTGGCACACAGATTAAGAACCCATTTAATTTTTGTACTTTTTGATATAAAATATATTTTATCATCAATTTCAAAACATTTTAACCAATGAAAAAGCAATCTACAGAATATAATAATTAAAAATAATAAAAGCACTTTTACTTTTGCATAACCCCTTATATTTTAAAACAAAATCAAAACTCTAAAACCCCTTATATATTAAAATAGAAGGAGTATATAACTAGTATTTGGCCCGTGCTATGCACTGGCATGAACATCTGATATATGTAATAAACAAAACATAATGATCTCACATTAAAAAAGTGTGAGAGATTCATGTGAAACAATTTTTCATAAATTTACCCGTGCTATGCACTGGCATGAACATCTGATATATGTAATAAACAAAACATAATGATCTCACATTAAAAAAGTGTGAGAGATTCATGTGAAACAATTTTTCATAAATTTACCTTCAACTTTCATACATGTGAATTTTTGTTCGCATACGGAATATTTTTTCTGAAACAATTTTTCATCAAAATTTATTTTCACAAACTATTATGTTGTTATATAGTTAAAAGAAATGAGAATAAATTTACAAAGCCAAGAAAAGGTAAGAATTGGGTGATAACTAAAAAGCTACAAAACGTAAAGAAGTAGATAGTTTTTTATATAACTTAAAGTTTAAATAAAGGCTTAGAAAGATATGTTTTCTTTATGAAATATGTATGATTCGCTAAAATTATATATTTGGTTAACTAACAACTACTATCTTTTATTTTGTTAATTGTTACATATTATATAGTTCGGTGAAAGACAAAAAAATGATATCACTTCCATTATAAACCCCAAAATGGGTAACACCGATAGACAAAAATGGATAAAAACATTAGAAACAATAATATCTCTCACACACCAACTTAAAAACACAACACGTTGAGTTCCTATTAAAAAAACACATTGGTAGTTCATACAGACATGTTCTAGTAGATAGTTACCATCTTTAACATGTTCTAGTCTCCATTCTCATCTTCTCCAAGTATTCCCGTAGCTGCTTCTCGAGTTACCACCATTAACATTCTTTAATTTGCATCTCAGTGTCTTTTATATTCCCAAACTATACAATAACCAAACACAAATCAAGCATTTAAGTATATTATCTGTTGGATCTCTTTGAATAAGGGTGGAATTTCCCAAGCACCAGTGAATAACAGCGCCCAATCCATCCGGGAAAACTCGGGGAATGTTGTCTGTGAAACCTCCATATGTTATATGAGCTAAACCCTTAACACCTCATTTGCTGATAAAGTCAAGTACCTGCGGATAGAGAAAGAATAAGTCATGGAATTGGCTAAAAAAATGTGATGGACTTTTTGGCTGACAAAGAACAAAAACAAATCAACCTGATTCACGTAAATGACAGTATGTGGCATTAAAGCTTCACCAAGACTACATGATCCACCTGGAAGCTCATCTTTCTGTAAAAGTACCTGCAACAATTGTGGTCTTTAAGCTTTACTCATTCAAGTGACAATAGACTACATTCTTCCTAGTGTCATATTATCACCAACTTACTTTCTTACTAAAAAGAAACCATTTGAATGAACACCGCTAGAAGGGAGGCGAATAAGAACATCTCCAGCCACTATGCTTTTCCCGTTTATAACCGATTCTTTCTTTACTATGACTACTCCAAACTCGCTTAGATCGTACTCGCCTTCTGCTTAAAATCGGGCTTCTTTGCAGTCTAAAACCAACCAAACAAAAAACTAAACGAAGCAAATTATGGAATGTTCATAAACTATATTGTCAAATGCTAGGAATTGAGTCTAACTGTGTAAAACATACATCTCCACTAAGAGAGCACAGTTCGATTTCCCACAACCATCAACCAAACATTTCCCATAGTTAAAAAATTGTTTTTTTTTTTCATAAATAAGAGACAGAGACTTATGGCAAACAATGAATTTCTTTATACGTTGAAACTAAAGAAGTAGATAGTAATATTCCAAATATATGTGTGTAAAAGAAGTGGAACTTGAGAAGGTACATAACGAACAAAGAAGTCTCTCCAATCACTAAAAACATGAAGCAAATGTTTAACTATGAAAAAAGAAAAAGAACCAGTGGTGATAGCACATACCGACGAAGACTTTTTAGTCATGAGCCTCGGGGAGCAGCTCATCAAAAGATATCAAATTAAAACGCAGGGAGTGGTCTGGAATCTGCTCGCAAGGCTTCACATGTGTTGACCAGCTGAAATTTTTTTTGAAAGGATGATTTGTTCCCCTGTAATTGCCAAGATTTTGAGACAACTTAAAGTTCATCAAAACACAGCAATTTCCTTCTTCGAGTTCCTTCTCGAACTTGGCTATTAACTTTCATCCTCTAATACAGGCTTGTATACGATCTCCCTATCATAAAACCAAAATATACAATCAAATTTTGTTTATCTTGTGCAAAACACTTTAATAAAACAGATTAACATGATGAAGTAAGATAGGTTTATGTACCTTATCATCCACAAGTATTAAATCAACTCCACTATCATTTTCAGAATTGCCATTGTTTTGAAATCGCCAAAGACGGCTAATTCGAGCTTCAATCTTGTAAACTTCATTTTCAGGATCTGGTTTTAAGTCAACAATTGGTGTGAGAGGAAGCTTCATCTTGTAGTAAAATAGCGGCTGCGGTTATTGTCTACATCGAATAGAAAACTGTAACATGTTAATGCGAGAGTACATGTTAATCGAATAGAAAAAATAATATTTTGGTTATTGTCTAATGCGAGAGTCATCGAATCAAACTTCAACATCGGCTGTTAATGAAAACTCAGAAATCAAGGAAAAAAACCCTAGAAATTAAGCATTTGAAACCCAGATTTCAAGCGTTAGAAAAAAAAAATCTCTTACAAACTAAAGTAGCTAACAAATTCCTTATTCATTGTCTAAATCATCCAATTTCAGAACCAAAATGTTAATCGGATAGAAAACCGTATAGAAAATCAAGCATTTAAGGATTATAATCAAAAGCACTAACAATATTCTGTTTTGAAATTGAAGCAAGATTATCAATTAACAGAAAAGTTGAAAAACCCAGAATACAGAGATACCTGATTTAAGAAGAAGAGATTTGATTCATGGCTTTGTTTCTCACAGATTTTCAAAGGATGAAGATGGATTTCGAGATCTAGAAAAATAAAATACAGTAGTTGAAGATGAATAGGCTTAGGTGGTTTTTGTATCTTCACCATATGTGAGAGATTATTCATAAGATCGTGAGAAAACGGTTTTCTCAGATCGTGGTCTCGGTTGTGAAAGAGGAAATAAAAGTTAGAATTACAAAATGAGAAAATGGGAAAAGCAACACGTAATGGAAGAAAAAAGGAAAAAATAAAAAGGAAAAAGCAACGAAAAAAAGAAAAATTAAAACGAAATTTGAAAAGACATGTGTCACTCATATAAGCCATGAGGTGACTTGTGCTTTATTAGTATTAGAAGTTGGATGCGCGCGATGTGGTTGCGACACGTAGGATTTTTATAAAATATAGGATTGCGACATGTGTCACTTTTAAGATTATGACCGTTAAAATCGTGACACGTGTATTAGGGGAAAAAAGATTTTTTTAAAAAAAAACTAGAAAAAGGATAATTTAAAAAAAAACGAAATTTAATCTAAAATATTAAAAAAAAGAAAAATTAATATTTGTTATATACTAACAGAAAAGGTTTTCCCATTCATCAAATTTATATTATCCAAACACATATAAAAAAGGAAAAATTAATATTTGTCATTCCTAATAGAAAAAGATTTCGCATTCATCAAATTTATATTAACACATATTAAATTAAAAATAATGTGATAAATAAAATCCTATAAGATTTTTATAACTCATATAGGATCATGTGTTTTTTATAATTCTAAAAATATTAAGATCGTGACATGTGCCATGAAAAAGTTAACATGTATAAGAACAACAAAAAATAAGAAAAGGAAAAAAAATCGAAAATCAGAAAAAAATAAATTTTTTTTTTAAAAATTTACATCCATTATGAAAAGGAAAAGTAAAACATATTCTCAATACAAAAAGGAAAAAATCCAATATATAGTGAGCTATAGCCTTCATGATTTAACTGTGTGTTTCTATCTTTTATTTAAACTTCTCTCATTAAAAAATAAAAAAAATAAGGTGTTTAAAAATTCATGATATTAAGAATATTTAACTCTAAATTAGATCCAAATCGAAATTATTGTTGCTACTTATGTTTGATATTTGATCAGTGTAGTCATGTGTTAACACAAGAAAATTAGAAAAATGTATAAAATAAATAAAAAACTAACAAAGTAATTGGAAAACAACTAAGTAATAATGAAAAGAAAATTTATAATGGTCTGAGGCAAAAACAAAACTGAAAAAGAAACAATATAAATAGAAAACTAACAAAATAATTATCAAGCAACTAAGTGATATTAAAAAGAAAAAATTATAATGAACTGATATTCTAACTTTAATAGTTTGATTTTTCAATATTTTATTTTAGGTAAAATAATATTAAAAAATTGATTTCATTGTAATAATAAAAGTTTCACAAATTAATCAATCATGTGTAAGTCTTTCTATTTTAGATACAAATAAAAAGATAACAAATTAACTTATTTATATTATCATGAAGTCAGAAAAATATATCTATTATAATAAAAATGTAAAAAGTTTACCAATCTAATTTTATTTAGAGATTTATTATCGGATTTTGAATATTAATCTACTTACTTTTGAAATGTCAAATATTATTTAATATTATTTCAAAAATTGTATAATAAACATGCGTATACACGGAGCCTAATCTAGTTATATATAAAATTTATGCATTATTAATTGGAAACTCAACTAGTTATAATAAAATGCAAGCTTCAAGCTTTAAACAGAAGTTAATACCATGGTGCTTTTATAAATAAGCAACAAATCCAAATCCAAAACCAAAACAGAGTTTCAAAAGATAGAAATAAAAACAAAAAACACCAATAGAACAAAAGAGAAACAAAGCATAATCAATAGAGCAATCACATGTCTACTGGCATGTTCTTGGTGGATTCAAAAATCATAGAAGTAACCTCACTCGCAAACTCAGTCTTGTGCAACAAAAACTCGATCTCCTCACCATGCAACACCTTGACCTTCTCTTCAATCTTCTTCTTCGTCTCCACAGGTACCACACTCCACCACTGCTTCAGAAAACTCTCATCCACACCAAAACGAGCAATGGCTCCAACGAACAAGTCAGCCACAACATCATCATCTTCCACATCCACAGCTTTCTGTTTACCATTAGTCTTCACAGGGTCAAGCTTTCTCGTACTCTTCTTAGAAGACACACGGTTTGATTTCACAGCGGATTCAAGAGCTAATCCATCAGATCCCCAAATATGTTTGCTCAGCTTGTAACAATCCTGTTCATGAGGCTTAGTGAAAGTAGGATTCTCCTTGTTCATGTACTTCTTCTTCAAGCTCCTAACCTTATCCATAAACCGATTCTTACCAGCCACGAAGCTGATGGATCCTTTGATGAAATCGTAGAAAGCAGTCATGTCTTGGTATGGAGATTTACCTTTATCGGCTTTGAAGTCAATCATCCCTTGAAGGATTGTGATTTCATCCTCTTCAGGCCACAGTCTCTGAAAAGCAGGAACAGGCTTCTTCTCCTCGTCTCCGGAAGTGGCTTTCTTGGCTCGCTTCGATTTGGCTTCTCTCGATGTCCCTTCGCTAGGACGCTTGGCTCCTGATTTCGCCGCCGGGAGAGGTAGAGCGGTTTCCTTCTTTTTGGGCTTCGCGGCGGAAGAGGATTTCACAGATCCTTGAGTCGGAGGAGGATTCGATTCGGAGTCGGAGTCGGTCTCGCTTTCCGATCCAGATTCGGAATCGGAAGACTCCTTTGCGGCGGCGGCGGCGGAGGAAGAAGGTTTGGCGGCGGGATCTATGGTTTCTTCGTCGTCCGAAGAAGCTTCTTCTTCGGATTCTGCACCGGAAATCTCGTCCTCGTCGCTTGAGGACGCCGGCGGTAGATCTTGCAGAGGGCTACGCTTCTTCGTCGTCATCGGAAATTACGAGAGAGAGAGAGAGAGAGAGAGTTTTAGGGTTTGTGTGAGACTGCAAGTGAGTGTTTATGGAGATCCGAAGGGAAATTTAAAAGGAATATTAACTTTGAAGACGATTCCAATAATCGATATAGCTGTTTTTGCCCGAAGCGTTTTTTTCCAGTTGTGTGAGTAAATTAGATTGCTTTCCCAAGATTGTGCCAGTAATTATTCCATTGTTTTATTTAATTAAGACCGTTGTAATAGAGAAGCGAAAAGCAATCTTCCATTGTCAAAATTTCGAGTTATCCAATAGAATTATTTATCTACTAATCACGTTTACATTACTTTAATTTAATCGAAACAAAAATTGGAAGTAAACAAACAAATACAGTACGCGTTATATTGTTAGAAAAATAGGAAAATTAAACGCGTGATTTTGGTCAAATGTGGTCATTGATGGGTCACCTAATCTATCTTTTATTTTTCTCCTAAAAAAAGAAGTAATAATAATTTTTTTCTCCCAATTTCCTCGAAGAAGAAGATTAGAAAAAAAATGTCCAAAACTGAAAATAAAACAAAACGAAACCAATCAAATTCGTCCATTTTTTTTCCCTCTTTGCTTTTTCTTTCTCCCAATCACGCTTCAGATTCCGGAGAAAGAAAGATTCTTTGTAACCGGAGTCTTGAAAGATGAATCCGCCGAACTGGGAACTCCGAGGTTGCTGTAACCGAAACCAGAACACGTTCCTTATCACCATCGGAATCTTCACCGTCGTTATCCTTCTGGTCAGTTTTTTTTTCATTTTGAGCAAAAAGAGTTGAAAGTTTCGACCTTTAATTTGTTTTCTATCTAAATGTTCTGGAGAAAGAGTAGAAAGTTAGGACCTTTACTTGTGTTTCTTCGATTCATCGAAGATCTAGTCAAAAGGGTATCTGATTATAGAGTTTATGCAGCCATTGACCATTCAAATTTTGTGAGTTTTGGAATTATAAGATTTTTACAGAGATTTATTGGGTTTCTGGGTTTTTGTTGACAGCTATGGAGGACGTTTCTGTTGACTCCATTTAAACTCATTACGGTGTTTTTGCACGAAGCGAGTCATGCTGTAGCTTGCAAGCTTACATGTGGAGATGTAAATAAGCTTTTCTCACTTCAACTACTAGTACTTGCTTCGATGAACTTAGGTTGACCCCTTGATTCAGTTTGCAAACTTGAATTGTCATGTTGATTTGCAAATTTATGCTTTTAGTCCACATTTGGAATCCATGCTAATTTTAGGTTCCTTGAAAGGGCAGAGAAGATATATTTGCTGTTATCTACTACTCAAATGGCTAATTTTAGTAAAGATGCCTTGTGTAGATAGGATAATAGAATTAGCATCTTGATGAAGATGTTGCAATATCCTTATATGTCTTGTAATTTGTAATATACCTCATTTGGTAAGTAGTGCACATTGTTTTAGCCTTACTTCATCAGGTTTATATATGATTCTCGCTTGCTCCCATTACTAATGTGTAAACTAGAAGCTCTGTCATTGAGTGAGACTACTTGAAGTTGTTCAGCTTCGTCTGCTCTAACTAGCCTAGGACTGAATGTAACAGAGAATAGCTCTTTTGAGTTGGTTAGAAAGCAGTTAGTGAGGGATGTGTTTACAAAAATCCTTGAATAGCTTGTGAAGTAGATTTTCTAGGATGTGATCAGAATTTTAGTTGAAAGTCTTTCATTCACAAGTCTCTCTAGTTTGGTGAGTGTTACAAAAATTGGACTGTATGTATGATAATTTTAGCTGCTTACAGGTTGATTGATGCGTATGATAATTGTGCCTCATGCAAGTATTAGAGAGAAATATTAAACCAAAACTTTTCTTTGCAAGTATTGTTTCTATGAATCTGCAAGTTTTAACTGTTCTTTATCTTTGAAAAGGTTTCTGTGAATTTGCAACTTAATTTCCAATTTGCACAGCTACATATAATGTTGATATAATGCGTTCCTCCTATTAACAAATGTTGCTCATTTTGGTTTGAACATAAACCATCTTCTTCTTGAATCTAAAGGTGGAGGGTATGGAGGTGAATGCAAATGAAGGAGGTTCGACAACAACACGTGGTGGCATTTATTGGCTAATCTTACCTGCTGGCTGTAATACACAATCTTCCTTACACAAATCAAACATAGTCGAATTTAGATGTAGGTGAATCATCTAAATAAGGCTAAAAATGTAACCTTTTTGTTGCTGTTGAATTGGTTAATAGATCTTGGCTCATCATTTTGGGGAATGGCTTTGATTCTTGCATCCACTAATCTGCTAACAGCAAGAATAGCTGCTGCTGGTCTCGGTCTTGCTTTATTCATCGTCCTCTTCATTGCCAAAAACGTAAGCAGAAGTCACTATCTCTCTTTATCTAACATTCTTATTCCCTTGAGACATACATTCACATCAAAACAAATGAGACCCAAATTTTTCTATCTTGACAGTGGACGCTTCGAGGTCTTTGTATAGGTATGTTATCATCTCATGGTTCATCTTGTTCCATTTTCATATTGAAGTGCCCAAAATCCTTATACAGTTGATAAAACTTCTCAGGTTTCATAGTGTTCCTCGCCATCATCTGGGTTCTACAAGAGTTAACAACTGTCAAAATCCTCCGTTATGTGATTCTTTTCATTGGTAAGAAAACCTTAAAAACTTATACTCTCTCTTGTCAAGATCATTCAGTTTCATCTTGTTTATATAAAAAGCCGGATTCTTGATGTTGCAGGTGTGATGAATAGCTTATTCTCGGTTTATGGTATGTGTTTCTTCTTTAGTATTGATGATTAACTTCACTCTTATGAGCAATACTGAAGTTACACTTTTATTTGGATATCAGATATCTATGATGATCTGATATCACGGAGAGTCCATTCAAGTGATGCTGAGAAGTTTGCAGAGATTTGTCCTTGTTGTACTGGTTGTGGCTGGGGTGTTATCTGGTTAGATTCTTAATCAAATTCATTACATAATAGCTCTCAGTAATCACAGAGTGTGAAAGTGAAAATCTTTTTCTTCTTTTTTTTCTGACCAAATTGTTTTTGGTTTTCAGGGGAATGATATCTTTTGTGTTTCTTTGTGCATCGTTGTATCTTGGTCTAGTGATCCTATCATAGAAAAGGGTAATTCTTGAAAAACATTTTGCTTTTGAATTCTGATTAACCTTTTTGGTGATTTTGATGGATATGTTTGGTGTTATTTCTCTATCAGGTGCAGATTGTTCCCAGTGGAAATGGATGCAGAGATTTGTTTCTTCATTGATGGGCAGTTTTAAACAGAGACAATAGTTTGATGAAAAGCTTGATTCTTTTGGATCCCTTGGTGTGTTTTGGGATTTACATTTGATTGAAAGTGTAGGGTTTATTTGAAAAGTTTGTATTTTTGTTTTTTTTTAAATATATGTTGGAATGTGTTGAATAGAATTCATTGAAAGGTTTGTTTAATTTGAAAGTTCGTTGACTTCTGTTAAAGCTTCTCGTTCTTGAAAATATTGAAAGCTGGAATAGTATCGAATTATATAACTTTAATTTGAAAAATATATAGCTAAAAAAAACTTTTATTTCAACTATGGTGAAAACCATATTAAACCTTTCAAGTTAGCACACTTATAATCTCAGTAGACTTATTTTGAAACAGTTGACTTATATTTCGGTTGATTTTTTTTTTTTTTTTTTTTTTTTTTTGCAAAATCGGATTTTTATAGCTGTTAACTAAAAAATATTTTTACTTCCATCGATTTATTTTACTTTTAGTAGACTTGTATCATTTTTTCTGTCTACTTATGGATCGACTTAATTTATTACTTTTAGTTGACTTATTTTGAAACAATCGACTTATGTTTTGGTTGATTGAGGTTTAAAAAAAAAAATTATAATAGGTTTTTTACTCTCTTTTTTTTGTTATAATGATAAAATGCTAAAACTTCATTATGTTTTTATACTTTCACACTTATTGAAAAGAACAATTGAATTCTAGATTTACTTTTTATTAATAAATACAAAATTGGATTTAGTATGAATAATCAAAATTTCTAGAGTTTTGTTTTTTGAAAGAATCACCTCGACGAGTGCAGTGAGTATTTATTTGACAATGCGTTTAAAGAGTCGAGGCAGTGAGTATTTATTTTAGACAATGCGTTTAAAGAGTCGAGGCCAATAGACTGTGGCTCGAGGGAACGTTAGACTCTCTCTTAGGCTCTTAGCATTTAGTAATTCGTAACTATGGCAGAGTATCAATCAAGCCACAATTAATTAGGTCAAGACTGTTCGCATTTCCTTCTCTTCGTATATATAGCAAGAAGAGATCTCCTTACATAAACATAACCCCTTGTCGTCTCTCACTGTAAGTATATTGTAGCATCCTGCTTTGTCTTCATTACTTTTCTGCAAAAGTTCCTGGTTACTCATCAACTAGGCAATGATTCTCTGGTTTTTTTTTATCTTTTTCATTCATTTGCCGGTCCAACAAATTTATACACCCTACTCGAATCTAAAAAGTATGCCCTTATTAAAACTTTGTACATGATATATACACCTCTTACAAAAAAGTTTTAACAAAAATATGTCTTTATTAGTTGGATGTCCTACTGGACCGCTTACCCTGCATGTCCTCAGGACCTCTTTTGCACTTTTATTCTCATTATACCAATGTTAAACTAAGGAGGGATTGATTCAATTTATAAATCTTTTTACGATTTTCTGTGTGTGTGTGGATGCATTATAATCTCTGATTATCCTTAAGCAACTACTGATCTTCTCTTCCTTATTCTCATGCAGTTTGAGCTCAGGAGATTATCTTGTTGCTTATCAATGGTGGATTGGAGTGATTTTTGTGACGACTTTGATGAGAGTTGGGATCTTGATTACAACAGTGATTGCTATTCATACGATTTTGATTTTGATGATGTTACTTGTGGAGAGGACATAAGTGACTGCTATGCATCCGAAAGGCATTGGGATCATAGTTTGAGTGACTGCTATGCATATGAAGTGGTATCAGATCATGGTGATACTTCAGCAGAGGACACTAGTGAAAGCTATGACTCTGAAGAGGATTATGATCATGATGATACTGGTTCAGAAGATGTAAGTAATGATGAAGAGTGGGATCATGATGATAATGGTTCAGAGGATGTGAGTGATGATGAAGAGTGGGATCATGATGATAATGGTTCAGAGGATGTGAGTGATGATGAAGAGTGGGATCATGATGTTACTGGTTCAGAGGCCCCAAGTGATTGTTCTGCCTATGATGATGCATATTCAGAAACCTTTAGCGATTTCTATGACTACGACGACTAAGGGTTGCATGAAGAATTTGGCTACACATAAAGTAGCTGTATTTGGGACTGGAGTTCTATGTTTCTCAAGGGTGTTTGTGTTTGGGTGGTTTTAGATTAATTTTTAAGTATTTTGCCAAGTTGTGAACGTTGGTAGTGATCCTATAATTAAAAGGTGTTCTTTGTTTGGCGTTCTTGTTTTTGTTAATCACATTTTCATATCGAGTTAGAAAAAAAACACTTTTTTATGAGTTTGGACTGAATATAACAGATTTATAGTTCTTTGTAAGTTGGTTTAGAAAAAGGCCTCTATAGATTTGTTGCTGTTTTTTTTTTAAGGATTTGATTAGAATTTCGTTTGAGAGTCTTTCATTGATAAGTCTAACTAGTTTGGTGAGTATTATAAGAATAGGAGTGTACAGCTTCAGCTCTTACCATAGTTTCAACAGTGATTCTTCCAGACTGATTGATGCGTATGACAAATTTACCTTACGCAAGTATCATCATAGTGAAAAATGTGAAGAGTTCTCTACCATCTTCTCTCTATGATACCTGCTGCAACTATGTGTAGAATGCACACGGACTCCATCAAATATCAACTATGTGTAGAATGCACTAGTTCTCTCTCAGGTTCAGATTGTTCCCAGTGGAAATGGATGCAGAGATTTGTTTCTTTATTAAAACCAGATTAAACCTTTCAAGTTAGCAGTGCACACAATTAATCTCAGTTGACTTATATTTCGGTTGATTTTTTTATATTTGTTTTTGCAAATCGGCTTATTGCAACTTCTTAACTAAAAATATTTTACTTCCATCGATTTATTTACTTTTAGTAGACTTTCTTACTCTCATTTTTTTCTGTCAACTTATTAAAAGTTTACATGTTTGAACTATCTGCTTATAGTTTATATCGATCGACTTAGTTTAATAATTTTAGCTCACTTATTTAAAATAGTCATATTATGTTTTGGTTGATTGAGGTTTTTTTTAAATTGATTTTATAATAGGTTTTTTACCTCTTCTTTTTTTGGTTTTAATGATAAAATGCTAAAAGTTCATTATGTGTTAAGTCCAGGTGCAAAATTATGTTTTTATAATCATTGGAAAAAAACCAATTGAATTCTAGATTTACTTCTTATTTTTAGTACAAAATTGGATGTAGCCTGAAAAATCAAAATTTCTAGAGTTTTGTTTTTTTTGGAATGAATCACCTCGACGAATGCAGTGAAAAATATGCGTTTAAAGAGTCAAGGCCAATATTCAATAGACTTTAGCTCGAGGGAACGTTAGACTCTCAGCATTTAGTAATTCGTAATTATGGCAGAGTGTCAATCAAGTCACAATTAATTAGGTCAAGACTGTTCACATTTCATTTCTTCGTATAAATAGCAAGAAGAGATCTCCTTACACAAACATAGCCCCTTGTCGTCTCTCTAACTGTAAGTCTATTATAGCATCTTTGTCTATGATTCTCTAGTTTTTTATCATCTTCATTCACTTACTTTTCATTATAACAACGTTAAATTAAGGAACGAGTGATTCAATTTATGTTTCTTTTCTAAGATTTTCTTTGTGTGTGTGGATGCATTATAATCTCTAAAGCAAGTAATGATCTTCTCTTCCTTATTCTCATGCAGTTTGAGCTCAGGAGATTATCTTATTGCGTATCAATGGTGGATTGGATTGATTTGTGTGACGACGATAATAAGAGCTGGGATCTTGATTACAACAGTGATTCCTCTTCATTTGAATGGGATCTTGATTATGATGATGATACTTGTGGAGAGGATCATGGTCATGCTGTTGGAGAGATTTTGAGTGATCATCATGATCATGATGAAGTGGACTCAGTTCATGATGATACTTCTGCAGAGGACACAAGTGAATATGAAGATGTTGATTGGGATCATGATGATACTTATTCAGAAACCTTCAGCGACGTCTATGACTACGATGACGTCGAAGCGTTGCATGAATACTTTAGCAACAAATGAAGTAGCTAAATTTGGAATATTAAAGCCAAAGCTAGAGAAGGAAAAGGACATGAAGACCGTCGAAGGTAGAATTAAGACCGTCGACTATGTAACGTTTGCTTTTATGATTCACATTTTTGCATCTTTAAAAAACATTTCAAAGAAAATCTAAACTAATATTTAAAATCATATTGTATTTGTATTCCTCGCGTACATTAACGAGGTTACGAATCTTTGATAGTTTATATGTTACTAATCTCTTAATCGTTAATCTTGTTTGTTATTCGTTGCGAGATTTCATATTGAAGTTTTGTGCCAAGTTGTGAACATTGTTGTTACATCCACATGAGTGTAGTTCTTGCAATTCTTTATTCAATGATTATGTGAAATTATTCCTGTGATTTTACAAATTAACAAAAATGGTTTAGTGCCATGTTTCCCCTTAATGAAATTCATGTAAAATATAGTGGATTTCTTGTAAGTGGAAAACTCAAACAGGAGCACCATAATGACATGTACGCTTGTGGTTTTGACATACTGCATGTGTATCTAATCTGCAACCACGCGGATCACAATCCCAAACATCTCTACATATGTGTTGACCTTCACTCCTCATTATCATGCCTGTTACGTTTATATATGTGTAAACCATAACCAAATTCAAGTCGAAACAAACCAAACAGAACTAAACAGGCCAATCATCCTATATATCTAGTTTATGTTATTTGAATATCATATAACCGAATAGCCAAATGCACTAAAAGTTATCAATTTCACATATATATATATATATGTTATATGACTTATTTCATCTAAAATACTTTTACCTTTCATGAAATTACTCTGGTCATTGTTATTATTAAACGGTGTATATGAATAAATCAATGTATACCTAAGGAATGAATCTAAACAAATATTTCTATAAAAAAAAAAAAACAAACTGCCTTGGGATAGAATATTGCAAATTTAGTCTGCTGTAAAATTTAGTTAATAACCTGCTTATAGACATCTTTGATTACATGTAACATGTCCATCAAGATTCAAGAAGTATATTGGAAATCAATCATATATGGACGATGTTCATAGAAAATCGATCAGCGGATCGTCTTAGAAGCTCGTTCACGAAAACACACATATGAAGTCTTCCGAAAACTTTCTCACGTTCCATAACATAATTAAATTGTGCTTTGCAATGTTAGCTACCATGTGTTGTGTTTATAACTTTGTTTGCGGGTAAAAATGTTTCATACTACCATGTTCAAAGATTTGATGCTACACACAATTTGTTTATAGCTCGGAAATATTCAATCTTTGGATTTTTTCAACAATTATTAAAACAAAAAAGCAGATAAATTCATAGGAAATCGGACTATGGTAATTGGTATCCATATATAACTAATTTGACCCCATATCCATAGAATTTGTCTCTGAAAATAAGGAAAGAAAGAGATAAAGAGCGATGGAAAACTAAATTATATATGCTCTTTCTCTCTACATATTTTGGTCAAATGCCACAAAAGATGTTGATGACTGGCACAAAGAACCTGGTTCGATAAGTGGATGAATACCAAACCGAATATACCAACGTGGAAATCGTGCAGAATAAGTCACATTAAACTAAATAAGAAAAAGAAAGAAAACAAAAAAGATGACGTAAAGCTCAGAGTTGGAGCCTAACGAACTCCACGTCATCATCGCCTAAGTTTCATCCACTGAACTTTGACGCGTCTTCTAACAGTAACCCCAGGCTTCATTATCTTCATGTGATTCCACTCCACCGTCGTTCTCTTTTCTTCTCTTTTTCTTTCTTTCCTTTCATTTATCAATTTTAGAAATGAAATGGAAATAGGCGAAGGAAAACAATACGCGATCTTTCTTTTTAAATAAAAGTTACAATTCTTTATAATTTAATCTATTGAATTGCAACTTTCTAAAAACTTGCGGCCACGATGTAAATACGTTTTGCTTTTGCATGTTGTAGAACTGAACACGACGAGGTTTAAAACTTCGATTGGTCCTTGGGTATTAAATAACTTTCGTCCACTAATATACGGAACTGGTGTATATGTGCATGTGTGTATACACTTTTTTGTACTCGAAGAAAATGTGCATCGTATACAGTTGCATTTCTATTAATGTTTCTTTTTCAAACCAAGCGATACCAAAAGATTAAAAGGGTAATAATGTTGACTTGCAAATAAAGTAAGAAAATCAAATTGTGTCATTTCAGAAAAGGAAATGTGTCACATGTAAAATGGATCATTGATACTTTTCATGAGAACTTTCACAAGGAAGCCATTGACTTCTTCTACCTTTCTCTATTTCCAGCTTGACCCATTTTTTTTTCTTTTTAAGTTTCTTCCCTTAAGAAATCTATGTATAAAATACTTAGCATACTTCTCGATAAAGTTTGTTTAATTTGTGAATAAAGGTTGAAAATATATTGGTTTGACTATTTTTATTACCAAAATCCAGCTATTATTATGGTAGTAGAATATTATAGGCTTACGAACTAAATCTTATTACATGACAAAGCATATCACTAGAAATATATGTTTAACTCTACCAAAATAAGTTATGCACGTTTCAATTTATCTCAAATGACTATTTTTTATTACCAAATCCATCTATTATTACGGTTATTAATTAGTATAATATTATAGGCTTACGAACTAAATCTTACCACATGACAAAGCATACCACTAAAAATATACATTATGTTTACCTCTACCAAAATAAGTTATGCACATTTCAATTTCTCTCAATATGAATTTAACGTTAAAAAGAACGGGAAGGTAAAAAGAAAAATTATATGATTTTGTTAATGCAGGATCAATGAATAAAATTATATATGTCAATATACGGAATGTTGATGTGGCAAACAATGAAGAGAGACAAAAAATGAAGAGAGACATTATGTACTTTGGTTCATGATTAAAATGACATGTATAAATCTATTAAAGGTTGTTGATATGGCAAACAATGTAGAGAGATTAGATTCATTTCATATCTACAAATATTTAATCATTAAATGATACTACAGGATTAAAGTTATGGAAAGTTTGAACAAAAAATGTAAAAAAACCAATATATAGCATATTTTGACTCGTGCGGATATTAAACTTTTCTCTTTATTCTCCTTCCTGGTCTTATCTTTTATCAAGTTCTAATATTCTAAGTAAAACACGCAATCTCCATTAGAATCAAACAATATAAAAAAGTTTTTAACCTATCTTCCAAAAATGGTCTTTTACCTCTATTTTCAGATTTCTCCTCCCCTCTACTTGATATCTAGTTTTTGTTTTTTTTTTAAAAGAACTTTCTTCTTGATTTTGTTTTCATACTGTACTCTTCATAAGTTAGTTTTAAGAAATTTTCGTGAGCTTTATTTCCTAATACTTACAAACCAATTAATGCATACATATCTTTACATCTACACAAGGATAAAGAAACTACCCCATATTTATTCTATATACTTTCCATATTATATGATTGAATTTAACCCTCTATCAAGGAATATATATATACCAGAAAAGCCCATCATATAATCTATCTTCTCTGATTCAGCGAGCAAAAAAAAAATATAAAGTAAAAAAGCCAAAATGGTTGCAGACGCAATCCACACGAACGGTTATGATCCCGCCAAGTTAACCGGCGAGGAAGAAATCCAACGGTTGAGATGCGCCGTGAAGAATTACGAGTGGGGCAGACTCGGACCGGACTCACTCGTAGCGAGACTCCACGTGGCGAATTCAGGGTGCCGAGTCGACCCGGATGTTCCGTACGCCGAGTTGTGGATGGGAACTCACGAGTCCGGACCGAGTCACGTCGTGAAGGAGGAAGAAGAATTCGAGTCGGGTCGTGATGGGTCCGAATGCATGGTTACATTGAAATCGTGGGTTTCGGATAATCCGGATTCACTCGGGTCTAGAGTCGTGGACAAGTGGGGACGTGATCTTCCTTTCATCTTTAAGGTAATGTATTTAACAAATTTCAATTGAAAAACTGTTAATTGAGATTCGGTTTTTGGTCAAATTCAAATCAGAATTAAAAATTCAATCATTCAGGTATTAAAAAAGTAATTATCTGATGGTAAGATTCTCATTTGTGCTCTGTTTTTGACGATGTTACAGTTTGACTCTGTTTCTCTTATGAAAAGTTAAAACATAGAGATTTTTTTTGTCTTTTCAGATTCTGTTTATGGTCTATTTTTCCATATTTTTATTTTTTACATATATAAGTAATTTAAATCCTTGATAAATAAATATTAATTTCTATAGGAATCAATAAGATTCTCATTTGGAATTTTTTTGCTCTGTTTTTGAGGATGTTACATTTGACTCTGTTTCTCTCATTTTGAAAATTTGATTTTTTTTTTTTGGTGCTTTTAAAAGGTCAGACATAGAGATTTGATTATTAATGATTAACTGTTTGTTGTTGAAATGTGAAAAAAAAAAAAAAAAAAAAAATCAGGTTTTGTCGGTGACGAAAGCGTTATCGATTCAAGCACATCCGAACAAGGCCTTAGCAGAGAAATTACACAGAGAAGATCCTCTTCTTTACAGAGATCCTAATCATAAGCCTGAGATTGCTCTTGCGATCACTCCTTTTCAAGCCCTTTGTGGTTTCGTCTCTCTTAAGGTACACATTTCAGATTCTTCTGTCTCTCTGTCTCCAAACTTCTAGTTGAGTCAGTTTTTGGTTTAGATCATTTCGGTTCAATTATTCCCCAAACCAAAAGAAATTATTCTCGGTTTAAGCTTTATCTAGATCCGGTTTAAACTATATCTAGATTCGCGTGATTGTTTGGTTAGCAACTTAGCAATCTTTATCAAATTATGTTTTTATTTTGGTTCTTAATATTCAAAACCTGAATAAAAAGTTTGAAAACCGAAAATAATCACTGGTTATTGAGATCAAGGGAAACCTGAACCGACCCCTCTTCACAACTTATTCCGGTTTGATTTGGTTTATTTCTGGAGTTACGTTACGTTGGTTCTGGTTCAGTTCAGGTTGCATTACCCAGTTAAACTAATTTGATTTGGTTTACTTCGTTTATTTTGCCTATTAAACCAAATTGAACCGGTTCTATACTAATTTTTCAGGAGCTGAAGGAGGTTATCGCCAATGTACCAGAGATCACAGAGCTTGTCGGAAGCAAAGCTGCAGATCAAATCTTCAAAGTCGACGAACACGATCAAAACGAGAATGTTAAATCCGTTGTCCGTTTAATCTTCACGCAGTTAATGTCTGCAAGCAGCAACGAGACTCATCAAGTCATATCACAGATGAAGATTCGTCTGATCTCAGAGAGTCAACACCGTGAACTATCGGAGAAGGAGAAGTTGGTTTTGGAACTTGACAAACAGTATCCAGGTGACGTAGGCGTGATCTCAGCATTCTTCTTTAACTACGTCAAGCTTAATCCCGGAGAGGCTCTGTATTTGGACGCCGACGAGCCTCACGCTTACATCTCCGGCGACTGTGTTGAGTGTATGGCTGCTTCAGACAACGTCGTTAGAGCTGGTCTCACTCCTAAACACAGAGATGTTCAAACGCTCTGCTCTATGCTTACCTACAAACTGGTAACTTCTTTTACACGTTAGGTTCTTGGTTTAGTTGGTAATACCAATATCAAACCGATTGTTCTTTGAACTTTATTAAGATTAAATAAATAGGCAAATTCTTGCAAATTTAAAGAATTTCACAATTTTTCGGTTTAAGGATTATGGTTTAGATAGGTTTTAGTTATAGACTAAGATCTAGGGTTTAGTTATAGACTATGTTATTAATTTTTGAAAGTAGGGCATATTTTGTTACTCATGTTTCATTTTTCTTGGCTGGTTATTGATTAACCGTACCGGTTATGTTCAGGGGTACCCGGAGATTTTGAAAGGATTTCCTCTGACGCCATATATTACAAGATATCTTCCTCCATTTGATGAGTTCGAAGTGGATCATTGTGATCTTCCTACAGGGAAATCGACGGTTTTTCCGGCGGTACCAGGGCCGTCGGTTTATCTGGTTATTGAAGGAAATGGGAGATTGCAAACCGGTTCATCGTCTCAATTGTTGGTTAACCAAGGAGATGTTTTGTTTGTTCCGGCTAATAAAGAGATTCACGTAACCGGAGAAAGTGAGGTGATGAAGCTTTATAGAGCTGGAGTCAGTAGCAGATTCTTCCAAACATTGTAACTCAATATATAGATATTTAATGACTTATTTGTTATCTTTATTAAACCATAACGACCAATGCGTTGACGTGATCGTAATTTGAGCTTTTCTTTTATTTTATTTTCCCTTTAAAACCGATTACTTATATGTAAAATGATTATACAACAATGTTTAATTTGTTAAATTTATTCTCAATAATTGTTCGGGTCGTGACTCGTGAGAGTCAAATAATTTCAGAAACGAAGAAAACTATGTGCAAAGACAAGTTAATTATTGCGTAGAAAGTAGTACATTGTCACAATTAAAAAAGAAAAGGACAAAGTCCATTTCGTTTTCACGTTAAGGATCCAATGATAGGAAACTTTTGGACTCACATTTTCATATTTATATATATAGTAGATATTGTTTTTAAAATCTTGTATTTTGCATTTCATATCATTTTCACAAAAATGATCTAGCTAATTATATACATGACCATCGTTGTATAGAAATGGTTAAAAATCAAAGTTTAAATCTCTATGATTTAACAAGGTCGTTACAAGTTTCTTGAATGTGGGTTGGAATAATATCAGTGATATCATATATAGAGTTGGTTTGATTAACTCCATATGCAATGGGAAGAGTCATGTTTATATTTCGTGCACATTTATGAAAATCTTCAGTTCACTATCCAAATTACTACAGGTTTTTGTGTTCACATATAGAAAATGAAAAAAAAAAATGGTTTATGTTTATAATCATAATCAACATGTGTCGTCGCTTACGGCTTTTGTCAACGTAGGCCTTTTTACAATATCTCTTATCACAGCCTCTTTACAAGATCTCTCATTACAGAACATGCAATTATGGGGGTTTTGAGACCGCATGCTATACCCAAGGCATGCTTAGAAGGCACAAAGATATAGGGAACGTTCTGCCAAGTTATAAAAATGTCCAAAAAACATTGCGCAGTAGTGAGCAACATTTATATTATTGTCTTGTAGCTGAGGATAATTGACGGTTGTGGCTTAACGTACAACTTATGGTAAATGTTTATTCTACTGTATGTCTCTATCGGCTACTTACAATTGATCATCATCAACCAGACGTTTTTGGAGAATGGATGATGCCACTGGAAGGAAGGAAGTGAAACAAGGGCTAATGCTCATGCAGATGCGTATGAGTATTCACAGCTCGTAAGTCTGCTTTATACTCCAACGCCTAGCTCCGTTGATACCAGATGGTTGGTTGTTGTCAAGACTTTACTTATATCTAAGAGGATTCAATCGGTGGATTTCGGAAATTCATAATTAATTTTCGTTGTAGTTGAATGGTGAGAACATAATTGTGAGAACTCGGCCACTTTTTCATATTTCAAGTGATATCAACTCTACTACTTTCTCATTGCAAAATTCTTCTTCTGATTGTAACTACAAATTAACGACATGAAAATGGATCAATCAGAGCGCTCAATCGTAATTGTGGACCAAATAGAGGATAATTGCGAAGATATGGAATAGTCAGAGGATGAAACCATAAATATAGAGAGAAATCGTGACTGCTAAACTGCCCGAGGCGCAAAATGAAACAGTCACATAGTAAAGCCCTAAATATTGTCAAGCAAAAGGACAAAATTACAATTGTGGAACAAATCAAAGATGCATCATTATTCCGGCATCGGTTCCTGCACCGGGAGATCAGGAAGCCACTCGTCTTTTGTAAGTTGTGCAACCATCTTAGCAATTTTGTACTACAAGAGTGTAATTCAAATATACTCCCTCTGTTTCATAATAAGTGTCGTTTTGACTCTTCACTTACCCAATGTATCTAAATATTTATTGATGTATTAAAACTCAAAACACATCCATACACATTATTAAATAGTCCAGATTCATTTTGTCAAAACGACACTTATTATGAAACGGAGGGAGTATTTTTTTTTTTTTTTTTTTTTTTTGGTAAAATCTGAAGATAGGGAGTATTGTTTTGGAATCAATCACAACAAATTTGGCAATTTAATAGCAGAGTTTAAATCCAACCTATCTTAGCAATTTCATACTGCAAGAGCATTAAAGAAACATATTATTTTGGAAACAATCAAAACAAATTTGGCAATTTAATAACAGAGTTTAAATCCCCACCTATCCATTCATCAATTGTTATTCAATGGTTTATTTTAAATACTTGATTTCTTGTATTAAAAGAGTTTCAAATGATGAAACAAAGAGAGAACTTACACGGAGTTCCCTGATGATAGAGTCCAAGTCAAGAGTGTAAGAATGTGCAAAAAAACCATTGAACTAAATTAAATTTTCAAAATAAACCCTCATCTTTTTTCTGTGCAAGTCAATCCCCTAAACTCAAAAGTCACCCGCTAAACAACCCTCATATGTATAGTCGATGTGTCTTTTTCTGGGCCGCTTAAAAATCTCAAAACACTGCGTTTTGGTCATAAAAACAACACACAGTTTTGTTCGTTTTCGTAAAAACACCAAAACACATGTAATAAAAATTGTCTGGATTTCTTTCTCTCTTGCCTCCAGTCTTTCTCTCGCGCCTCCAATTCCATTCCATCGTCTGTTTTTGATGAAGTAATAAAATTCCCAGGAAAAGTAAGATTTTTTTGCAGAAAGCTCGAAAGATTCTCACATGGTGAGAAAACTTTAAAATTTGCATATTGAGAGAGAGATTCTGAAGGATTTTAAACCATGTCGAGATTTCTGAAAGATTGTTTATGAATCTGGTCCTGCTGGTGTTTGCTCTAATCGAACGAGTTTTAACTAATTTCTACGCTTAAAAGAAGAATGTAACGTAACATCAAAATCTTTTAAATTTGACAATTTCTTCCTAATTACATTGGCTATGTTGGATGTGCGACATTGATTATGTGGAGGAACTAATCCGTTCTGCTTTCGTGGTAATGTCCTCTTTTCCATATTCACAGACATGTAATCTCGTTAGTTACCATTTTTCTTCACTTCACTGCTAATTAGTCAATGGAAGCATTCTTGTAAGTTTTGCCTGAGCTGTTTGGAGTTTACAAGCCTAAGATTCTTAATTACCTCTGTCTTTGAAATGGTGACAAGATAAATCTTTAAAACAGCATGTTTGTCTATTTCCAGGTAGCTGAAACCCGGCGGCTGTGGGTGGGTGCACTTGTAAAAGCTCCTTCATGGTGAAATAGGGAATCGTTGAATCGTTCTTCTTTATAAATGAGTAGAAACCCCATTTGATCATTTGTTATTACATGTATAATATCAGAATTCAGAAGTTTTGATACGTATCAAAAGGCAAACTAGGGAAAGATACAAACTTCTATAGCTTAACAAATGATTTGTTTTATCCTATTTTTAAACAATAATCATAATTGACTGAGTTTACACAGAGCAATGTTGCGTCTTCTCTTTATCTATAAAACAGTTGATCATATACTACATACATAGATCTCAAATCACAAGTCCAGCTGATGAAAGTGAGTCCTTGTGAGTACTTAACAGAGAAGAGCGACTTAACTCCTTCAGCTTTCCCTTGTCCATCAAGAACACTCTTTGTGCCATCATCACTGTCTCCAGTCTATGTGCAATCAAAATTACCTGAAAATGCAAATATCCGCGAGTCATGTATAAACAGAATAGCTGGGATGCTTGTTGTTACCATATGGTCTTCCATTCTATTGCCCAACAAGAGCCATAGTCTCTCCTGCTTTAATATGATGATTCAATTCAACCCATCCAAAATGGGAAGCATCTCTTCCTCATATTTAAATGAAATATTACATAATTCAACCTCGCCTGCAACTGAATGACGTCAAGACATGGACAAAAGCACTTTGCATTCAGATTTTGAGAAAGACAAAGAAAACAAACCTCTTATTGGGAGTATAAACTGAAGAGACGATTAGACGATGACGTATATGTTAAATCAAACAAATGCTCTACCGCTGGCTCTCCTTGTTTCAGTTCATTATAAGCTTTTCCCAGATCCTGCATCATTCTTTAGATTCAAAATCCCAATAAGATAGCTCTACAAGGTAAATAAGCTTAATCGATTTCGCTAAATTACGGTTTTTGGCGTTTTTCTTTATCCAGGGTTAAGAAAATCGTCAAGAACCCTAATTTAGGATTTCCCCCAAATCGATTTTAGCTCTCCCCAAATGAAATCCAGACAATTTTTGATTACATGTGTTTTGGTGTTTTTACGAAAACGAACAAAACTGTGTGCCGTTTTTATGACCAAAACGCAGTGTTTTGAGATTTTTAAGCGGCCCAGAAAAAGACACGTCGACTATACACACGAGGGTTGTTTAGCGGGTGACTTTTGAATTTAGGGGATTGACTTGCACAGAAAAAGATGAGGGTTTATTTTGCAAATTTAATTTAGTTCAATGGTTTTTTTGCACAAAACCCTATTTCTTAGTATATGTGGGATTTAACTTCCTTCTCTGCAAGCATTTAAACAGTTTCATTTGAATCAAATGTTATTGTTTGTTGTTGTTTCTGTTTTATTGATTTTTTTTTTTGTAACTAAAGAGAGATGGTAAAGGGACCCTGGGCACCTAGAGGTCACAAGATCAAGTGCCGCTTGGGACGAAACCAATATTACATGTTGTGGTTTTGGGATTAGGGGATTACGGGCTTCGGCCCAGAACCTCCTAATAATTCAAAAAAAAAAAAAAAAAAGAGAGAGATTTAACTTTTTAGCATGGATGTAGCGTCGAGCTCACGATCTCTCATTACAGAACACTAGGTTTGAAGCCCCGCGCAAGCGCGGGGTTGTTTGCGATAGTTTTTCTGTTTAATTTTATTTATACTCGTTGATTTGAATTATGATGGTTTTGTGTTAACTTTCATGTTTTTGTTATGTTTTGAGTTAACTCAACCACTAACACTAAAAAATATGAATAATTTTTTTTTTAATTTATTAGGATATTAACACCCCGCTTTATCTCGAGTTTTCTATTTCTAAAATTTTATCATGTTATAAATATTATGTTTGTTTACTTTTTTTTTACTTCTATTAGACTGTAAACATGTATATGTATTTGATTGAAGGTTAAAATTTATAAATATGTATATGCATTTGACTGAAGGTTAAAATTTGTAAACATATTCTTGTTTTTCACTACAATTAAATTTACATATAAAACTCCATTTCTATTTGTTTAGAAAAACAAACTCTAACTCTAATTTTTCATTAGCTTTCTATTATCTTAATTAATTTATATTCAACTTTTTAACTTGTAAACACATTATAACATTTTTAAATAGGATAATCCTTTGAATAAAAAGGTAAATATATACTATTTGAAGTTAAATATTTCTTTACTCCATCTCTATTTTATATTCCAACTTTTTGATAACTTTTAACATCAAATTATCACATACTTTCTATTAATTAATTAATTTATTTGTATATTTTTATTAAATATGAATAAATGTAAAGAAATATGAATAGTCATATATTTAATAAATATTTTAAATACAATTTAATGTTTTTGTGCTGATGTGGACACTCTAGATGGAGAGAGCAACTCCCTAATTATATATAAGATGCGGGGGTTTTGAGACCGGATGCTATACCCAAGGCGTGCTTAGAAGGCACCAAGATGTAGGGAACATTCTGCAAAGAAAAAAAAAAAAAAAAACTGTTTAAGTTAAGACTTGAGAGCCTAAAGGAGACAGTGAATTGTCATGTTGATTACAACTTAAATCTCACAAGACAGAGAGCTTACAATAGAGTTGCCATTTTCTGGCTTTCATGGCCTCCTTAATTGTTAGATTTCTATGAGCTAGTTTCCTTTTCTTACACCAGTCAATGATCTTCTAGGTTTATTGCTTTTGTTCTCACCAGGCTATGCAAACATCTGAACAAGTTCCAAGCGTGACACAGAAAGAAAAGTGTTGTTGGATGCAAAGAAATCGCAATCTAGTCCTTGTGCTCCGTCTTCCTCTTGCTTCCACGCTTTTCTTGTCCGAAAATTAGTTCACAAGAGGTACATTTCAGGGTTCTCTTCTTGGATCACTCTCTCCCAGTGTTTGAAATCACCATAGTTGCAAGTAGCTCTGTTCCATCACGCTAGTAAGGCCAATAGGGTACTATATCCCGCTAGTAAGGGCAATGAGGAAGGCTCTGACACTGATAAGTTTGTGCTGCGAGGTGTGGAAAGGTTTCTTGCTCAATAGTATCACTTGCTTTGTTCTGTAGGAGGAAAGCAAGAATATTAACGATATATCTTTGCATGGTAACCCATAAAAGTCTTTACTATGGCCTTATGGGGGCCATCCTTCCTTGTCGGTATCTACAGAGGTGTACCATAAACAGCTGGAGTTTCTACAGCTCTGCAGTACAGTATGGCCACTGAAATCAGAATCAAGAGAACAAGGTTGTCTATCTAATATCTTAAATGTTTTTATAGTCCCCTTTGAAGGTTTTGTTAGAGAAATTACACTTTCTGAAATATGTTGGGTACTTGTGTGTTGGCAGGAAATGATCATCTTGACAAAGCCATTGCATTATCTGGCCTGAATTAACCAGCTTGCATGCCTTAGAAGGTAACTATGCTTCGGACAACGTCGTTAGAGCTGGTCTCACTCCAAAACACATACATGTTCAAACGCTCTGCTCTATGCTTACCTACAAACTGGTAACTTCCTTTACACGCTAGGGTCTTGGTCGTGTTTAGTTGGTAATACCAATATCAAAACCGATTGTTCTTTGAACCAATTAACAAAAAAAATGGCAAATTCTTACAATCTTTAAGGTTTAGAATTTCAGGTTAAAGATTTAGGGTTTAGTTATAGACTATGTTATCTATTTTTAAAAGTATGGCATATTTTGTTCATTTTTCTTGTCTGGTTATTATGTTCAGTTGCCCGGAGATTTTGAAAGGATTTCCTCTGACGCCATACATTACAAGATATCTTCCTCCATTTGATGAGTTCGAAGTGGATCGGTTTGATCGTCCTATAGGGAAATCGACGGTTTTGTCCGGCAGTCCCCGGCCGTCGGTTTATCTGGTTATTGAAGGAAAAGGGATATTGCAAACCGGTTCATCATCTCAATTGTTGGTTAATTAAGGAGATGTTTTGTTTGTTGCGGCTAATAAAGAGATTCACGTAACCGGAGAAAGTGACGTGATGAAGCTTTATAGAGCTGGAGTCAGTAGCAGATTCTTCCAAACATTGTAACTCAAACTATAGATGTTTAATTACTTATTTGTTATCTATATAAAACCATAGGTACCAAAATGCGTTGACGTGATCGTAATTTGAGCTTTTCTTTTCTTTTCCCTTTAAAACCGATTACTTATATGTAAAATGATTATACAACGATGTTTTTTTTTTGTGCACGATACAACGATGTTTATTTTGTGAAATTTATTTTCAATAATTGGTCGGCTCGTGAGAGTCAAGTAATTTCAGAAACGAAGAAAACTATGTGCAAAGACAAGTTTAATTCTTTATTTGCGTAGAAAGTATAGTGCATTGTCACAATTAAAAAGAAAAGAACAAAGTCCATTTTGTTTTCACGTTAAGGATCCAATAATAGGAGACTTTTGGACTCATATTTTCATATTTATAGTGGGAAATTTCTAAAAACTTGTATTTTGCATATCAAATCATTTTAATAAGATCTCATAGCAAAGAAAAACTAGAAGCAGCCATGGATTTCATTGGTGGATTTTATGAGGAGGAAAAGTACGGCAAACAATTTCTAATATATTACCATCCGAAATACAATCCCATACCACAAACACAAAACCCAACTTCTTTTGGTGAAGCAGCCAGTCACGACCAAACTCTTTTCACATGTCCTGGTGCAAGATTCTTAAAAGGTTTGCGTGAAGAGTATTTAAACTTTTTTCCACTCAATTCTTCCCCTGAATACGTTGTCTCTACAACAAGCGATGATGATCATAGTGTTCTACCTGTATTTTGGTGCAACAATAAAGAATTTGATGCAGATGGTGGATGTGGGTCATGTCGCGGCTCAAATTTTGGCACTGACTATTATTTCTGTGATTATTGTGATCAAATATACCACAAAGAATGTGTTGAGTCTCCTCCTAAAATCAAACACCCTTACCACCCTGAACATTTTCTCCAACTTTATTTTGTCCTATATGTTGATTGCAATACTCAGTGTCTATGTTGTGGAAGTGAAGCAACATATCTGGTCTATTATTGTACAATCTGTGAGATTTTCATGCATTTGATATGCGCGATGAAGCCGATACCCTTTGTTATAAACCAACCAAAAAGACATAACCATCCCCTAACCCTCTTTCCCAGACAAACTTCCTTAACTTGCAACGTTTGTGGTTTGGTGAGAAAACTTTATCCAACCTATATATGTGCCAAATGCAACTTTGTAGCTCATAACGATTGTATGTATTTCCCACGCATCATCAAGATATCACGTCACCACCATCATATCTCCTACATTTCCCCTCTTCCATCCAGAGAATATTGGTCTTGTGGAGTTTGTCGTCAAAGTATCAACAATGATTATGGTGCGTATTCTTGTGACAAATGTAGTCATTATGCTGTCCATTCAAGATGTGCTCTAGGTAAAGATGTGTGGGATGGAAAAGAATTTGAAGTTGCACAAGAAGAAAATGATATAACAAAAGATGTTATGCCGTTCAATGTGATATCTGAAGGAGTTATACTTCATTTTTTTCATCCCCATCACCTCATGCTCCAAGTCAACATATTTTATGATGAAAACAAGCTTTGCCAAGCTTGCGTCCTTCCTATCTATGAAGGTAATCTTTATAATTGTAAGGAATGTAACTTCTTCATCCATGAAACATGCACAAAAGTTCGCTGGAAAATACAACATGCATTACATCCTCACCAACTTACTTTGAGGTCTCGCAGTCGTCAGTTTAGATGTGATGCTTGTGATCGTGTTTGTAGTGGCTTTGTCTACGAGTGTTGCATAGGGGAATGCAAATTTCATCTAGATGTACAGTGTGCTTCAATTGCTGAGCCGTTTGATTACAAATGCCATAAACATCCCTTGTACCTAGCTTTAGACCCAATAAAAAAACCCATGTGTCACGTATGCAAAGCAGAATGTCATAAACAATTAAATTGCATTAAATGCGATTTTATTGTATGCTTCAAATGTGCTACCTTACCATACAAAATAAGGTATAAGCATGACAAACATTTTCTCACAATTTTATATGGGAAAGAAGTACCTGAGGAAGATTGGTGCGAGATTTGCGAACTTGATTTAGAAGATACAAGCACAAAGGTGTTCTATCGTTGCGTCGAGTGCTGCACCACTCTTCATAGTAACTGTTTATTTGGTGAAGACCTATATATAAAGCCTGGTCGATATTATGAAGAAGGGATTAATTTCCAAGTATTGGGCAAAAGCAATATCTCTAGACCATTATGTCGTGTTTGCAAAAACCGTTGTCAAGGATATATATTTAAGAAAAGATACGGTATAGCATGTTCTATGAAATGTATATATAAATTATATGAAGTGGCTCCGCCCCGCTCACACAATTAATCTAAATGTTCATACAATTCACCGATTGTACCATATGTAAAGATTTAATTCTCTTCCAAATGATGTATTTGGCAACTAATGAATTAATTCATCTGATAAACCTTGTGAAAATAGGTTTTTGAGTTGCAAGTGTAAGACTAGAGTTCATAATTTCTATGAACCCTAATCACATTAACATGACATGCAAAACTAATATGCATGAACATTTTACTTAAATCTCATGATCTTTAAACATCTTAATCAAACATATAATAGAATCAAAAAGAGAGACTTAGTGATACTTCTTTTCTCATTGTAAAATAAGCTTCCATGAATGGTTCCTTAGAAGTGAAGCTTTCTTGACTAATGCCTTTTTGACTTGAAATGGAGAAACCCTTTGAACTTTAGATATGAGCTTAAGGTTTCTCTCTCTTCTTTCCTACAAATATCTTTTAGGTGTTGGGTTCTCATATGTGTGCGTGTCTTTGGGATGGAGCAAATGCACGCACACATATGAAACTGAAAATGATGCATTTTACTAATGTTTTTGGATGGATTTGAACCTCTGGCATGTATTTACTAGAAAACATGTATTTGAGCGTTTCAGGCATCCAAGAAAGGTATAACAAATACGCGTATAATATGCCTAAGAGGATATACGGTATGCCACTCTCCATAGACTTCTTGGTCTGCACAAAAGACAAACATAATAATCAACTAACATGAAACTTCTTTGATTATAACATAAGAAGTTGCAAGAACTTACGATTTCAGCTTTTGGAGCTACAACCATTAGTGTGTAAAAGGGGAAGAACAGCTGTTGTTCCAACCGCGAACACACTGCTTGCGATCTGAGAAGTAGCTTACACTGCACATTCAAAAACATATGATGTCTCTTTGTTCATGTTTTAGGTTCTAAAGATATCGAGACTTTAGGTCTGAGTCTGAAAGATAAGAGAGACTCGGCTGATTCTGGTTTTACACCCTTTTTCTCTGAGATTCTGATCATTTCTTCGACTGCTTCGTCTTCGTAGTTGTACACTGTGAGAAGACTCGGGTTTATTTTGAAAGAGTAGAGTTCCGCTAGAATCTTGAAAGCAGAGGAACGGTCTTGAGTTATAATCATGTGATATTCGGATTCTTCAAGATTCATAAATCTCCTGATTCTTTTCCTCATTCGCGAGTGATAGCAACTCTTTACCGGAGCTCACTTGCGTGCAAGACAAGTTAAACAGAGAAGGTTTTGATTCCAAGATTTGTCGGAATTGCGAGTAAGAGAACAGAGGTTGTTGTTGAGCGGTGTAGTTTAACAACACGTGGCAAGAGAAGGAGAGGTTTTGGTAGTCTGTAGATCGGAGATGATCGGCTTGAGTCGTCTGCAAGTAATCTGGAAAAGCTGTGATGAGATCGTAGAAAGAAGTACGGAGAGATTCTTGGCTCGTGAACTTGATCTCTCTGGTGAGAAACGAAGCTCCTGGGGTGATTACTGAGAACTCGAGCTCTTCTTCTGGTTTCTGAGTCACGGATTGGGATGAGAATGGTGATGAGCAGCAGCCATTGAAGCAAGCTTCTGAAGCTTGTATCAAGTGTGAATTCATACCTAAATTTTGTTTCTCTTCAATCTCTGAATTAATATGAAACTTTAAATTTCTTTGATGAGTAGTAGTCAATTATTAAAAATAAAAAATATATGATAATGTTTCGAAAGAATAGTATTTAGGCTGTTAGCTACACATTATATTTATGCCCACGTTTATGGTTGAACAGAGTTGACTTATATTAGTCTATATGGTTTTGTTGGGTTATAGTATAATTGTGGACAAAATAGAGGATAAATGCGAAGATAAAGAATAGAGCAGAGGATGAAACCATAAATATAGAGAATGTCAAGCAAAGGGACAAAAATTACAATTGTGGAACAAATCAAAGATACATCATCATCCATCATCATTCGGGCACTGGTCCCCGCGCCGGGAGATCAGGAATCCACTCCTCTTTTGTAAGTTGCGACCATTTCGTAAGTTGCACCAGTTTCGTACACGGAGTTTCCTGATGATAGAGTCCAAGTCAAGAGTGGATTTCTTAGTACCTCTGGGGTTTAACTTCCTTTTCTTGAAGCATTTAAACAGTTTCATTTGAATCAATGTTATTGTTTGTTGTTGTTGCTGTTTTATTGATTTGTTGTTGTAACTAAAGAGAGATTTACCTTTTGCAACATGGATCATAGCCTCGAGTGAAAAAAAACTATTTAAGTTAAACTTAAGAGCCTAAATGAGATAGTAAATTGTCATGTTGATTACAACTTAAATCTCACAAGAGAGAGAGAGCTTACAAAAAGGAAAATAAAAACAAAAGTGATTCAGATAAATCACAAACCATTTCTTGGGCAAGGAGATGAAGAACGATCTCAATGGGGTTGTGCGTCCGCAGCAATCACAACAAACTCACATGCATTACACATTAGAGACTTTCTAGCTTGAAGATGGCAAAATCAAAGTATATGAGTCAAACTTGAAGAAGATGAGAGAAGACCGATTACTTATATATGTAACTAAAGAGAGATTTGTTTGTTGTTGCTGCTGTTTTATTGGTTTGTTGTTGTAACTAAAGAGAGATTTACCTTTGCAACATGGATCGTAGCCCCAAGCTCAAGATCTCTCATTACAAAACATGCAATTACAGGGGTTTTGAGACCGCATGCTATACCCAAGGCATGCTTAGACAGCACAAAGACGTAGGGAACATTCTGCAAGTGAAAAAAAAAAAAACTCTATTTAAGTTAAGATGACTTAGTGGGTTAATCAACTACCATGTTTTGGAGGAGTTGTATTTTGACACATCCGTAAGTTTTTGTTTTACAATCGTACTCTTCTAGTATCCTTAGCTCTCATATTGTTTTCAACTCTATATAACTAGAAAATGTTTCTTCTTTCAGCTTGCTGAAAAATCACCCAAATTATTGAAAATGGAGACAAACATGGAGAAAATAAGAAAGAAGAGAAGAATGTAGGGAATAAGGAAATAAAGAGCAATTAGTGAACGAGATAATGGTGCAAATGAATACCAAGATGAAGTGGAAGAGGATGAATAAGGGTATGCTCAAAACGGTGAGAAATTGTATGAAGAAGATGATGGTTATGATTTTGAATTGTATTGATATGCATTTTGCGAAACAAAAAGTTTTTCTAATTTTGTTGTTGTAGACTAGTTAATTTTGCATGCATTCATTCATATAGAAGGTCCCAAACAAACAACAATCCAGTTAAATTTGTTTTTTACTGTCATATATTACATGCATATATATTTTAATGGAAAATCTAAAAAAAGATGTATCTTTGAAAATTATAGGAAAACACAGTTTAAGCAAACTTTAGAGTTCAAAATATTTACTTAAGAGAAGGAAGCTAGAGCATGTTTATTGGTAAGACTCAAAATGTCTCTTAACTATTTTTATATCAATAAACTTATTTTAAGAGACATTATTAAGAGACAAATATTTTTGCACCATTATTGGTAAGTTTCTTAGAAGTTCTTAATTTTTTCTTTTTGTGAATAAAGTTTACCATAAGCAGATTTAACGAGAAATCATCTAAAAAGACCGGAAGAGAATGGCGGCGTAACAACAGCAAAAAGATAAACTTTACAAGAAGATGAAACATATCATTGTGTATTCATCATTCATATCTTTTGGATCTATGTATGTTCTCAAGAGTCTAAAACAGAGAGAAGAAACATACTAGCAAGACAATTACGATTCTCAGTAGAGATTACATTATGCAAGAGGACTAACAAAAATAAAAGAAGAACAAGACTACGTGAAGTTCATAGAGATTCCTGTCTAGTGAAACAATTGTCGTGGAGCTGTATCCAGGTTTATATTTCTGCAATTTGAACAAGGTTTCATGTGATCAGAGAGATGATTTTGATGAAAGCAGAGAAAGAAACAAGACGCACCTGCAGATATTTTGAAACCCGAGCTGGTTTTAATCAGGACATCAAATGATTGGTCTAAAGACAGTAATCAACTGAGCATAAACAGTTAGTACTTTGGATCTTCCAACCAATCGAGGCTGTAAGAAATAGCATCAAAAAAGTACTCTACCTTCAGGGAGATAATCTGCAGTAGCTCTTGAGGCAGAAGAGACCAGTCAGGGACAGATAATGTGTGCTCTTTCGTTGCAAGTTGTTGTGCCATTTTTGCTGATGGAGACGACGAAGACAGCTGCAGTTTTGAAACCTAAGAAGAGAAAAATAACAATTTAGGAACTCAGATTAACAAGAACAACAAGAAATGGAGTTGAGAGGAGATTGAGCACCAATATGAAAAGAGACACAAAAAAAGAAACTCACTATCAACACAAGCAGTCAACGTAAGTGTGAGAGAAGCTATACTAACGGGAAATAGAACATCAACCAAAGAAGGAATAATGAAATCTTATCATAAATATTCTTGTAGAACTGAGAATAACATCTTACTCTTTCTAGCACATCTTAAAGTATAGTTGATTTTAGCTCACCAAGGTCTTCTATCAACAATTTGACATCCTGAGGAGAACCCAGAGAAAGTTAAAGTAACAAATTGGCTTCGTTAGCGCATTTCAGTAGACGGATCACTCCAGCAATTAGGGCAACAATGCTTTCGTTAGAAATCATCACTCCCATGATCTTTGAATTTATCATCCCATTTATACCTAGAAAAAGAAAACTAGATCGAACAAGCAATCCTTAGTAAAATTATGGGTCAAGGATCAAAGGGATAAAACTACACTAAAACACATATCAGGAAAATTGAGCTGTGAAGAAGCGAATTAAAAAAAAGACAGAGAGAGAGAGATCGGGTGACAAATCAGGAACCTTCATAAGACTTATTGAAGTGCGGGAGGAGACTCGAAGAAGAAGAAGCCGACAAATCAAGCCGACAAATCAAGCTTTCTGGAGAAAACTTCATCAACTCGATCCGAAAGGAACACAGGCCGAGAGATCATCGCAGCTCCATTTTTCGACGAGATCATCGCGCGTTGATGAAAATTAAGAAAAATCCAATCTCCCTGAGATCGCAGAGTCTCCGGGACTTCGCCGGAGAATCAAAATAACACTGGTGATAACGCACGAGATAAGAAAAGGGCAAAAAACCCCCTGAAATCGAAATTCCCACCTCGAGCTTTTGCTTCTTCCTCCTTCCACCGAAGAAGAATCAAAGAGTAACCGAATCGCCTCAGAGCGGGTAAGAAGAAAGAGAGAGAGGCGAATTTGCGAAATGAAGAAAAACAAAAATTTGCTTCAGAAGTCTGCCACGTGTCTCTAAAAAACGTCGCTTATTTCTCTCAAGACGCTCTAATATAAGAGACGTTTTCTCTTTAATTAGGCATTTTTGATTTATTTTGTTTTTTTATCAAAATTCCCTAAAATTCCCTAAGATTCCCTAAGAGACTGTGTAAGAGCACCTGCATGAGAAATTGTATGAAGAAGAACTCACTCCACTACAAACTCGTTTTGCTGAAATATAACCGAATGAATCAAAAGCAAAACGAACCATCATTTAAAAATCTTTATAACTTATAGCTGATTTTACTTGCACTTAAGAAAAGACATTGAGAGAGACCAAGATAAACTGGTTTTCACTATCACTAGTTGTTGGATTTTGCGGTAGAAGAAGAACTATTTGGTTAAAGCTTTGGTTACAAAATGCGAAACGATTCCAACGGGACAAAAGAGTAGGCAAAGCGAAACCGAATGCCTCGTCTCGATCTCATTCTCTAAACCATCCTTAAACACTTGCCTGCAAGCAAGACAAAACCCCAATCAAGAACACAAGTATATAAGAAACAACATGTTCGGATAAAATTCAAAAACCAATCTACCTTGCAGCGAAAAGATCAACAACAAGAAGGTGAATCCAAGCAGAAGCAAGAGTCATTTCACTCGAGAACATTTTCGCTATTCCAGACAACTGCAAATGGACAAACAAAATCAAGAAACAAGAAAAACATTTCAAGAAACTGAAAATGATAACATTTACTAATGTTTCTGGATTGATTTGAAGAAATCTTTACCTCTGGCAACATGTATTTACTGGAAAACATGTATTTGAGCGTATCAGGAGTCCAAGAAAGGTATAACAAATACGCGTATAATACGCCTAAGATGATATACGGTATGCCACTCTCCATAGACTTCTTGGTCTGCACAAAAGAGAAACATAAATAATCAACTTCTATGAAACTTTTTTGATTGTAATTAACATAAGAAGTTGCAAGAACTTACGATTTCAGCTTTTGGAGCTACAACCATTAGTGTGTAAAAGGGAAGAACAGCTGTTGTTCCAACCGCAAACACACTGCTTGCGATCTGAGAAGTAGCTAACACTGCACATCCAACAACATATTTATGTCTCTTTGTTCATGTTTTCAAATCAAGATCAACAAAAAGCTAGAATCTTGGCAAAGTTTTAGAGCTTAAAGAGACATTTACATGAAGCTCGTACGCCGGAGAATTTCTTGTCGACGGTGGAAGAAGAATTCGATGAAAGATTGGGAGAAAGAGAGATTCTTGATCCTCCGATGAAGCTCCAGCGATTATGGAATCGAATCTCTGAAGAATTAGACTGAATACTGTTGAGATAGACACTTTTTACTGAGCTCTTAGCTGAGATTCTCCGATTTATCATCTGAATCATAAATAAAAATCTCTACTTTATTTCTCAGAAATCAAGAAAATATCAGACAAACGCACTTTTGATCAAGAACAGAGACAGGTTCTGTAACAGGGACCCAAGAAGAGTAAATTCAATTTATAGGTCAATTAAGACCGCTTAGTTGGTCAGTTTGATTGAAAAAGACAAGAATTTAAGGTTATTCGTAAGGAATCTGAACTATTCAAACTTCGACATAGAATCTAGTCCGTTAATATCCAAACAACTGTACATACATAATATCTCATATAGTGAAATTGGAGAAGATTTGAGCAGGACGATAAAAAGGGAGAGAGATACCGAGAGAGATGAAGAAGACAAAGGCATGGAAACGTAAGAAGATAAAGCCATCTCCGATTCAAATCTTCAATACTTTTTGCCAGAAATTGGCTCTTCTTCATTAGCTTCTGCGGAGAACTGTATGCATATTTATATGTAAAGAAACGATTTTTAATAAAGAGAAGGTTGAGACTTTGAGAGATTTCCACTGAGAGATGAAAGTGGAGAAGAAAGCCAAAAGGAAAAAGAGTTCTTCTTCACTCTTCTCCTTCCTCAGTGTCGCCAATTATACACTCTTCCTCATCCATCTATTTTAAAAATGTTTCCATATATTTAAAAAAAAAGGTTTTCGTCGTTTACTTTAACTTTTGATATCTAAACTTTCCTATTTATAACCCAATTTAAACTGGTCAACAATATCTTTTAAATAGGAAAAAATCTTGACAAATTTTTATTTTATACTCCCTCCGTTTCAAATTAGTTGTCGTTTTGGCAAAATGTATCTGCAAATTTTTGGACGTATCCGGACGTGTTTTGCATTGCAGATACATCCAAAAATTTGCAGATATATTTTGCCAAAACGACAACTAATTTGAAACGGAGGGAGTACCATTTTTGTTGAATCCATTTCAAAATTTACCATTTAAGGAAAAAGGGTAAAAAAAAAACTCTCTCTCTAAAATATTTCACAATTTGATGAAAACTAAAAAGATGTGAAATAAATCTAATCTTTCACAATTTGCTGTTTTTTCTATGAAATTACAATCTCATTTTTTAAAAATAAAATTGTGTCAACTATGTATGAAGGTAAACTAATGAATTTAAATAGAAATAATGGAATTTTTTTTTTTCGTTTTGAAGGATCAGAATAATGGAATTTTGAAAAGAAATAAGAAGTTATATTATTTTTCAATCTATTGTTAATAGTTTTTTTCTTTTTTTAAAACATATCAAACTTGCCATAGACATTTATACTCACAACTCACAATGTCAAGCATTTATTATATGTGTTAATGCAGAGTCTAGTGCTCAAATTGGATTTAGCTGGACAAGACACAAGTTTAGTTTAAGGACAGAACAAGACAATAGTGGTGACACCGTGACAGTGCTACTTCTACTCAGCAGTGGTTGTAACTTCCTCTAAAAACAAAAGTTGGTGTTTCCACCATTAATTATTCGGTTATACCTTTTTTAGATTATTATATACTTTTTTTTCACGACCTTAATTAAGGAAATTGACAACCAAAAAAATAAAAAATTTGCATTAAGGAAATTATATATGGAAAATAAGAAAAGAATTATATATGTGGCTTATTGTTTGAGAAAATAGATGGAGTAAGGAGATAGCTTGGGTGGGCTATGTAGTTATGATAACTTCTGTTGATTAATGGGCCTTTTAGACCCACCCCACTTTGTGTTTTTTTTGTTGTTTCCACCCAATTTGTTTATTCAACCAAAACCACATGAAAACAAATGCAAAACTTGGTATATTCTTCTATCTTGTAATCTTTGGGGTACTATTATTTGCGCATTTCAATGTGCAACCAAAAAAAAAAACAACAAAAAAAACAAAATGTATAGTTCTTGAAATTAAATGATAAAATATCTCATTATGTTTTTCTTCTTTGAAAAATTTCCGTAACATTTTTATTTTTTGGTGAAGAACACTTGATCTTTCTTGAAAATGTATTTTCACTTAAAATAATAATGTTTTGAATTTTTTTGACCTCATATATCTTTCCTTTTTCAAAACTAGCAAAACAACATTTAAAGCGTTACAAATTCACACAGCATAGTTCCAAATTTTTTGATGTGAATTTGGCTCAAGTCAATTCAAATTAGAAAATGCATATGATCCACAAGATCCTTGAATATACGTTAGATATAGAAATTAAAATGAATATTCGGGTCTCTTATCTACAAGCCTATCCTAAAGAAAGCACATCCACGAATGCATCCATCATAGATTTCCAGTGGGGCCTTCTTTACTTCAAGATATTGTTCTAAAAATACTTTTTGACCACAAGCTTACTAATACTAATCATGTGACAAAGGTTTTAATCTAAAACTAACTATTCAAATGATTTCTCAATTCAATTACGACAACTCCAAAGATTAATCATTTTGAAGAACATTGTTTACAGTTTCTTTGTTTCATATCTTGAGCCACATTGTCATTTGTTTTCCATATGCAAAAATTCCAAAACTCAAAAGATTTATAGAACATTACATATTTATTTCATCAGACATTCGAGAATCCGATAGAAAATGTCTCGCAAACCGGAAAACAAACGTTAAATCCGGAAATTAAAACAAAAGATAGATTATATATTAGAAAAAAAAAAACAGATGATAAAATCAAAGGTGGGGGAAGGGAGGGATAAAGTTTTTTCTTTGAAGTTTACACAAAGCAAAGCAACTTAAGCACCGGAGTTGGTGAAGCTTGGTGGCTTGTAGGCGATGAAACTGATGCACTGGACTTGACGGGTGTTGTCGAATCCGATGATTCTGATGAAGGCTTCAGGGTACTCTTTCTTGCACTCTTGCACTTCCTTCAACACTTGGGCTGAGTCAGTGCATCCGAACAATGGTAGCTTCCACATTGTCCAGTATCTTCCATCGTAGTATCCGGGGGTGTTTCCGTGCTCACGGTACACAAATCCGTGCTACAAAACCAACACATCACCACAACCACACAAATCAAGATTCAAAGACAATATAAATCAAGAAACCTAATTTTTTGGATTTGCATATGCAAGATTGTTGCAAGATTCACATGATCAAGAAGATCTAGCTACTCTAAATATTTTTATATAATTCTTTAAAGAATTTTTATTACCTCCAACTCGAATTCAACACAGGGAATCCACTTGTTGCGGAGAAGGTAGTCAACTTCCTTAGCCAATTCAACCTCGGTAAGGTCAGGAAGGTAAGAGAGAGTCTCAAACTTCTTCTTACCAACAGGAGGCCACACCTATTTTTGTAGATCAAGAACAAGATTAGTTTATGTAATTTGGAATTTAAAAAATAAAAAAATGATTTGGGAGAAGAAATATGGACCTGCATGCAGTTAACTCTACCGCCGTTGCTTGCGATGGAAGTAATGTCGGTGTTGGCCTTGCGGGTCACGGGGAAAGAAGCGGAGGACTTAAGTCCGGTGAAAGGAGCGACCATAGTGGCCTGAGCCGGAGAAGCGACCATTGTAGCGGAAGAGAGCATAGAGGCCATGTTTGCCTTTTTTTTTATCTTTACTCTTTGTGTGTGACTTAGGTTCTGGTGAAGTGCTTTGGTCGTCTATATATAATGGTAACAACAGTGGAAACAAGGCGTGGAGTGATCGGAGGGCTCAGGATTCATGAGATTGGAGTGGAATAGGATTTAGACCGTTGGATTTTTGAGTGGATATGTGTGACTGTTTAATTTACATGGTAACGGCCACAAAGGCTAAGTGAAAGGTGTTGAGACCCTTATCGGCTAGAACCGCTAGAATAGTGCCACGTGGAAGATAATTCCATAAATCTTATCGTTATCTATGAGTGAAAATGTGTGATGGTGGTGGTGTGGTGCTACTCCTTTTACTTTCCGATGGTTTTGGCCCTTTCCTTTGGGGGAAATAACATATTACTATAGGATTTATTTATTTTCTTCCTGTTTTTTACCTTGGATTTTGTTAAAAGTGTAGAATGGGTCATGGTCAGGCCAAAATTGATTATCTGAAAATTATGTAATCAAAATAGCAATTGATGTGATTCATGTGAAAGTCAAATTAGTAATTATTGTATACAACTATACAAGACTCCAATCGATAAAATATGGGAATTGTGGATTTTTTTTTTAACTAGGACTTTCACCCGCGCACGCGCGGGTCTGTATCTTAAATCGGTTTAAAATATATTTTTAAAGATTTTTTTTAAACTGCAAAAATCAACAATTAAAATTTAATAATATTTCAATACCAAAATTCTCTGGAAAACAAAAGTTTTTAGATATATAATATCGTGTTGAGATCAAATCATACAAAAATATTGTTTAGATCATATCCCGGTAACAAAAATGTTTGTGTATGTATCTAATGACCAAAACTTACTTGAAGATATTCAAATCATTATAATAGGACAAACTTTATTATTGTGACGTGTTAATCATTTTCTAAACAGAAATATATTTTTAAATATGTATAGTGAAATTCTTAAAATTAGATGTCAACAGTATTTGTATGTAACACGATGTTTATTTAAAATAACTTCAATTCGTTATGTTAGAACTTAAAATGCTATAAACAACATATAATTTATTTTTCAGTACATTTAACTTACACATCGTGTTATTAGTTTATAAACTTTGATCATAATAGTATATATTTAGCTTTTATATAATATAAATTATGTATATTTTTTTATGGCTTAAAGAAAATCTTAAATCATTGTTTGTTCAATGTTGATTTTTTGTTAGTAATTTTGTCACGTTTTTATGCGTTATGGTATACATTTCTTTTTAGAAGTAGTTTTATATTAATGTTTACTTGAATATTTCCGCCTTAAATCTGTTTATAAATACATTCTTGTTCAAAAAATTTGTTAGTTACATATTTGTTTAGAAATTGCAAAATTCAGTTAGTGTTTATTTAATTGCAAAAATGGTTATTAACTCACCTCATATCATGTTTCTAATCAAATCGAGTAATCATATTTGGCAAG